CACAAATCCCAATAGTTTCAGTATCAGAACTCATTTTCTTAAAAACTTACACTAATGGACCTCATCAATTCCAAATCATCTTTGGGATGATTCTCCTCAAAGTGATTCACTGTTGGAGTATTGACCATGCCAACTATCACTTTTTCAGGTGATTTGTCCTTTCTCATAAGAATAGGACGCACTTTTTTCATCTTTTTTACCTAGAATATCAACATTGAATACATGAATTCATAAGTCCCATTCTGATTGAAATAATCCACATAAAAATTCCTCAACATTTCTATATGAATTAATATATCTCCTAATATATCATATTGTTCGAAAATTAATTCATCAACAATTTTACAAAATGAACAATACAACACAAATTAAACTTTAATTTACCTTTGAAACCTCTTTTATAGTTGGTGCTTTCAATTCATCTTTGGTTGGTACCTCTTCAAGAATTTCCTTGAACTCAACATGAAGTTTATTTGGTTGAGAATTCTCTTTGTTGTTTTCACTATTTTCCAAACCATCAGTCTCATTTTCTTGAGACAGTTTCTCTTTTGACTACAAAATATACCTAATTAGTTTGAAAATAAACTATTAAACAAAAATTTATCAAAAATTAAATAATTTAATGAGTAGACAAATATCTAATCTGATTATTACTATTTGAGGATTGTTCTTATCAAATGAGTTATCATAAGAATGATGCCATTATCATATTTGTTCATGGTATTTACAGAAAGAGAGGAGAAACTTAGCAATGATAATTTTGCATTGTAATGCAAATGTATACTATGTTGGCTATAGTAATCTACATAATGAAAAAAAATGCAAATTTGTTGCAGAATAGCATAATTTTGGCTGAATAGGTATTTCAAGATTCCATATCGATACCCTAATGCTGACATGTCGTAACCCAACTCAATGAAATTTTACAGGAGGCACGAAAAACGAATAATATTATGAGAACTAGAAAACGGACGTAACCCACAAAATAAATAAGTAAACACAGTTTGTTCGAATACATCGTAAACCACAACTTGGTTCCAACAGGCATATTATTGTATAAAAAAAAAGGTTTTTGGTATTTTATATTAAAATACGAATACAAGATGCTTCTTTGACGCCAAGGTAAAAAAAATAAATAATGCAGAGCACCATGTCAAACTAGTCAGCTGCTATCAACACGCTTTGCTTTTTTGAACTGCACTGTGGGATACGACTAGTTAGATGTGATATAAATGCCGTACGTGGGTTCAGACATGTTGGAAATCGCGGGAATCACCGATTTATCATTTTATTTGGGTTACGAGAATTTAACAGTATATAGAAATGCATGTGTACTTTCCTTTGGTGAAAAAATACTATTTTCCAATTTTTTGTGGGTTACGACTTATCAGCATTAGGGTATCGATATTTTCTTATCAGTACTTATTAAATTCAGGTTTCTATGATTTCCATGAAAACCAACCTTTTTGGAAGCCTTTTTATTCTTTTTCTCTTTTGGTTTTGGTTTCAACCCCAGCAGGGCATTGGTTTGCTGGCGTTGTTCAGCAAGAGCCTCCTCAAAGCTTTTTTGTTTGACCCCATACTTGTAAACCAAAAACAATGAAAAGCAAGCAATGAGGAATAAAACTATGAACAACAATGGGGTGGACAAATCCATTATCTGAAAAAAAAAGCTATCATTTGTAGTTACATTTATTCAGGCCAGAGAAACAGCCAAATTTTGGTAGTGCAACAGCGGAGAAATTAAAGTGGATAATAGTACCCATGGGATTCTACCATAACTACTGGAGCAATCAATTTCACTTCAGAAAAAAGACACTCAACTTCATTATCATTTTAAAACAAATCATCAAATGGGATGGGCAGAGATGAACAAATTATCATTTCTTCAGCCACGTAGACGGGGAAACGGGGAAGCAAAAGAGGTGCACCGGGACTATCAATAGGGCTATTAGAAGTAAAAATAGACACAAGCTAGATGCCCAAGATATCTTTCTTACCTTGTAATATCTTAAACAATTACTTCAAACTGTATTACTATGCCTATGAAAACAAATACCGATAAACCATAAATTACATACAAAACATCTATATTTGGATACAGTGGACTCACTAACCAGAATCACTAATCACTAGCAAACTAGCAAAGTAGCAAAATGCAACATGCATCACAACGAACTATCTCGACTTTCGTCGGTTGTCGCTGTCACTGCTGTCGTGCTGTCAGTGGTCTGGTCGTTGCACTCTCGCACTCGACTACTCGACTTCTCGACTAGTCGGCGCTCCTTGCCAGAGATGGGCAAAATGTATCGATGTTTCTCAAACATCGACTATTCGATGTGAAAATATCGGTATTTCAAAAATGTTAAATGAAAGAATCTAGTGAGGTCTACGGTGGTCAGTGACTCCATTTACTGTAGTGAGGTCTACAATGAGGTCTACGTGGAGTCAAAGTTAGTAGAATTGCTTTCGTGTCATTTGGCCTCTTCATCATTGTCTCTTCCTACGATATGTTATTCTTGGATCATCTTCTCCGCCAATGTAGGAATTGCCAGTAAAATTCCACATTGAGAGTAAAAAAACGCAATTGATTCCATAATTTGAGTTTTGAATTCTTTCAAATATGAAACAGACCATAGATTTTAGATATATTTATGTCAGGCTTTTCTAGTCTAGTACCTACGAAGCTCTGGGAGGGCCACTTCTATATATTTTTTAAAATCTCGAGTTTGTAAAGTCGAGATCTCGAGTTCTCGAGTTGTGAAAGTCGAGATCTCGAGTTGTGAAAGTCGAGATCTCGAGATCTCGAGTTTACAAAGTCGAGAACTCGAGATCTCGACTTTACAAAGTCGAGATCTCGAGTTTGCAAAGTCGAGAACTCGAGATTTAATTTGTTGTGGTGAACTTGTGATGCGAGAACGTCAAGAGATATGTCATTATGTCAACCTGACACCTGCCGCCATAATTCTCTATACCTGCCGCCAAATTCCAAAAAGAAGCCATCTAAACTCGGATCTGTTGACTTTCCTGCTGTGTGTAGTGTGGGTGGATTGAAGAATGATGGCTAGATATTAGGTAATAATTAAATTGCATTGATATACCATGCAGGAATAAGATAAAAACAAATAAATAATTAAATATAATTAAAATCAATGTTGTGGCTTTGGTTGTGATTCTGTATAGGTCCTGCACAAGTTTGAATCAATTACATTGAGTTCATTGGTTTGAATCCTCTGTCGGCTCTGCCGTAGGAAGTAGAACTGCTAAAGTGGCTAATGGTCCATGTGAAATGTCCATGGCCCATATTATATGTTTATATAAGTTTATAATAAAAAAAATATTTTGAGGTTAGGTTTGGGAACTCCACTTGAAAACGTAGATGATGAATTAGATGAAAAATCTCCAGCTTGCAAAAATTCAAAATAAGCAGAAAAAATTAATAATTGAATGAATGTTGTTTTGAAGAATCATTAAATAACACTTGAAATTTTGCTTCTCACTACCTCACTAGTCACTACCCAAGTCAAGCTTTCATTTAAACGCTCTACAATAAAGAAGGAAGAAAGAAAGAAGAAAATTATTTTAAGTATTTCTGTATCTCCAATAATATCGTGGAAAAAAGTAAATTTTCCAAAAAAATTGTTTTTCGATATAACTAAAAAACTGAATACGATGATTTTAAAATTTTTCGAAGGCCTGGTATGACCCTCTGAATGCCCAACTATTTTTTCCATTTAACAAAGCCACAACATTGATTTTAATTATATTATTATTATTTATTTGTTTTTATCTTATTCCTGCATGGTATATCAATGCAATTTAATTATTACCTAATATCTACCCATCATTCTTCAATCCACCCACACTACACACAGCAGGAAAGTCAACAGATCCGAGTTTAGATGGCTTCTTTTTGGAATTTGGCGGCAGGTATTGATCATTCCAGAATTACGTCATTTGACAGGTTGCTGAGGGGCAAACGTTGTATTTTGTCAAGATATGTCATATAAAACCAGAATTAGTGGGATCTGTTTCCTTGGAATCTGAGTTGGAAACAGAAAGAATTTCATAATTTTGTTTGGTGAAACTCTTATTATATTGTGGATGTGGCAGGGATGGCTAGGGCTATGCTCATAAAATGTAACCTAACAGATAGTTTGTGTGCCCCTCAAGAAACCATGTCAAAATCACATGTTCTAGAATGGTCAATAGAGAATTATGGCGGCAGGTGTCAGGTTGACATATCTCTTGACGTTCTCGCATCACAAGTTCACCACAACAAATTAAATCTCGAGTTCTCGACTTTGCAAACTCGAGATCTCGACTTTGTAAAGTCGAGATCTCGAGTTCTCGACTTTGTAAACTCGAGATCTCGAGATCTCGACTTTCACAACTCGAGATCTCGAGATCTCGACTTTCACAACTCGAGATCTCGAGATCTCGACTTTCACAACTCGAGAACTCGAGATCTCGACTTTACAAACTCGAGATTTTAAAAAATATATAGAAGTGGCCCTCCCAGAGCTTCGTAAGTACCTTCTGATTCTAATCTGTTATCTTTTGCAAACGAAATCTTGTACGAAAAATTTATTAGACCCAGGACAATGACGGCTAGATGTCTAGACAGCCGTCATTGCCCAGGAACAACGAGCTTGAGTCAGTTGTCAGTTCAGTCAGTTGAGTTGAGATCGTGGTTGAGAGTTGAGAGAGTTGAGTGAGTTAAGTCACTTAAGTCAGTGCCGTCCTGCCGTCAGTGGTGGAGTTTTGTGGTCATTTGTGAAGAGAATTTTTCGATTTTTGATTTTATAAGGACTATCAGGTATTTCCCAAAGATTCTGTAGTATATATTATATGTATATCCTTCAAAGAGCCAATTTCAGTTTGTTTAATATTGAATATTATTCTACAGGTTAGTTAACTCCATCGTTTTCAAAATATTCTGCACCACAAATCCACCATACCGTTTGTAGTGAAAAAATTGCTATAACCGGTAATATAAAATGTATGACGACTGGGACGATAGTGCTCCTGTAATAACTACTCCCGCTTCCAATCAGCCATGGATGGCAAAAAATCAAGAAAATTCTGATGTGTGGTCTAATAATACATCATCTGGTAATGAAAGACCCTACAATAATCAACGGACAAGACAATTCACTAGAGGAGGAGGAGGTACTCGTGGTAGTAGAACTGATAGAGGAGACCCCCCTGGAGGCAGTGGCAATAACTGGAGGGAAAGGGACAGTAGTGAAAAGTGTGAAGTTATGAATGTTCCCAACAGGTTTGTTGGAAAAATTATTGGACGTGGCGGTTCCAAAATTGGTGAACTTCAGACAGAATCTGGTGCTAGAATTCAGGTAACTAAAGAAACTGATGGTGATGAAACAGTAGTTAAACTATTTGGAGAAGTTAGTGCTATTGCAAAAGCCAAAGATTTGATCAATGATTTGACTACAGATACTGTCAGGTTTGTACAGGCAAAAGATATACCTCAAGAACAAGAAGAAAAGAAACCTGCTATTGTTGATTGGCAAACCTTCTTGGCAGAGTGTGATAAGGCTGAGGATGAAGAGTGGGCAAAATATCCAGCAATCAGGAAGAATTTTTATAAAGAGCACCCTGAAATCACAAAAATGTCACAGTCAGAAGTAGACAGCTTTCGTGAAGAGAATATGAATATTGTGGTGGATAGGACTTTCAAAAAGGATGGAAGTCTTCCTATACCTAAACCATGTCCTAAATTTTATCACTCCTTTCACCAATTTCCTGAAATTCTTGAGGAAATTAGAAAAGCTGGATTTGAGACACCTTCTCCTATACAAGCACAAGCTTGGCCTGTACTTTTAAGTGGAGAAGATTTGATTGGAATAGCACAAACTGGAACAGGTGAATTAAAATTTGTATTTCTAATATCTAAATATATTATAATTTGATTTAAAACATAATTTCTTAAATGTAGGTGTTCCAAACTGATTTTCATTATTTATTTTAGGAATTTTTTTCTTAATTATTTTTACCTTTTTTTTTCTCAGGCAAAACCCTTGCATTTCTTTTGCCTGCTCTCATCCATATTGATGGGCAAGATGGTGAACGTGAGAATAGAGGGGGCCCTGCAGTGCTAGTCATGGCCCCTACCAGAGAACTGGCCCTTCAGATTGACAAAGAGATCAAGAAATATGAGTACAGAGGTATCACATCGTAAGTAAACTGCTATTTGGGGTCTTATTAACTATTTCATGGATGATTCAAGGTGTTTCATAATGAATGTTTCCCTGCAGAGTTTGTTTGTATGGAGGAGGCAATCGAAGGGAACAAGTCAAAGTGGTAGGAGGGGGTGTTGACATCGTCATTGCTACCCCTGGACGGTTGAATGATTTGGTGTGTGCAGGTCAGTAATAATAGATTCTGATTTCTTTGATCATTGTTTCAACAACTTGTAGTCTTTTTGAGCATTACAAACTGGTACAATTTTCATTTCATAAATGGCATTCAATTACTACACTGGTTGTTAGGAACTGGAATTAATTTTTGCAATACTTCTCACACTTTTAATGTAATGAATTATTGTCATTCAATTACTACACTGTGTTGTTAGGAACCTGGATTAATTTTTGCAACACTTTTTTAAGTTAAAAAATGTTTTGGTATTGGTCAGATAATCTTACATTTCCACTCATGAAGCAAGGTTGTCAAGTCACCAATTATAATCAAGTTTTCAAAAAGATCTTAGAGCCCTGTCATTGAATAAAACATAGTAGGAGGAACTCATGATATTATAGTTCATTCTTGACTCTTTTGAGCAACCAGCATGTCCAAATATATCTAATACGCCATAACAAAATTTCATGTAAATGTTGGAGACTTGGCAATATTGTCCTGAATGCTGAGAAGGGACAAGACAACGCCTACATGTCGTGCGCGCAGTGTTGTCACGTTCACCGCTTCAAATGTCCTCTAGTGTGAAATAGAGTCACTGGATGGTATTAGTTTGATAAGAGTTCGGACACAGCTGAACTTTTGTCCTTTTCTATTTTCTATAATACAATGGTTTAAGTGAATAAAAGAATAAGACATATATTCTGCTCTTTGTCTTTTCAATTTTCCTAGTAGCGCGTGATTGTCAGATACGATTTTAGAGGTTATATTTTTTGTCAAATCAATCATAGCCGTAGATGGACAATGAGTATGGGGTACAAACCCACTTCAATTTATAGTGATACACTTCTAGCAAAACAACTGTTATATAAATGAAAAGAATCCATATAACAACATTTTAATATTAGAAAATATACACATATGGATAAACTTATAGCTATAATTCCTTATTGTATGTGAAACTGTACTCCAGTGATGAGTATAAAACATGAAGTTATTTATATTAAATTAAAGGTAGGTATTCTCCATATACAGGAAGTAACATAAGTATTTTAAAGTGAAGTATTCCTGAGACAATTATGAGAAATAAAGTCTATATAAGTTTTTGTGTCCGGAAATGCTTCATTTCGGAGATACAGGGTGCTGAAATACAGAGAACAAATAATTTTTCGATAAACATTTGATAGGAAAAAAGTAGATTATTTTGACGAGACCTACCAAATAATTGGTTTTGTAAAGTTCTCAGCAACTCCACTTAGCGCTCTAGGAGCTATAAGCATAGATTAACGACTCTCTGAGCTAAGTAACATGGATCAATATAGAAAATATCTCCAAAACGATAACGTCCAGCGTAATTAAGGCCCTTATAATAATTCCCTTGATACATAAATAACTATTCACTTTTCACTGTTGAATTTTAAATTTGGTCGGCACCAAAAACGCCATTCAATAATATATCACTTTGTAGTTTACTTGCTTTTCTTAGTTTCGTTTTGAAATTCTCAATTTCATTATGTAATGTTGTGATCATTTCCTCTTTTCCATGATTATTTTGTTTTGTATTTTGTGTGATGATAATAATACAGTTTTGTTCTCAAAATCGCCTGCTTTGTAAATTGATGGAACAGCAGATTCTCACAAACATATTTTGAAATCTTCTGTTCAAAAATGGGCCTAAAATATAGTTTCATTCTAATCAGATGCTGTTATAAAAAGTGAATATTAATGAGTACCTCACGAATTTCGCTCGTTTTCAAATTGATTTTGCACCCAGGCCATTTATTTATTACACAGCAAGTAATTTCCATAGCTGCTTTTATCTCTTACAACAACAACAACAATAATCTCGAATGTATAATTATGAAATTTTATTTCTTCTGACGTTTATAAAATGTAATGTCAAATTCAAACAATTTTGAATAAAAAAGCGCAGGACGACTATGGTGCTCTCGTCACAATGCAAGGTGTGAAACTCAATAAATCTAAACATTCAAAAACCCTAACCGTTGTCATTTCTGTGTCCGAACTCTTATCAAACTATGCTAATAACATCCAGTGACTCTAGTGTGAAATAATCCACAAATCATAAGGGAACATTTTGAGACAACTGATTATATATTGATATATAGGAATATTACCAATACATGATTGAGAATTTATCAATGTTTGAATAACTAATATATCTGAAGTTCCCAATCGTATTTCAACACATGGCAACTTTACTATGGTCTGCCCCTACTTCGTCGTGACGTCAGTTTTTACTCGCGGTAAATTTCTATCCCTTTGAAAATTACCGTGGCATTATTGATGTTTTTAGCACCTAAAAATCGACCGAAAAGTTCTAGAATAATATGAAATCAAATAGTATTCGAGTGATGATTTTATTTGAGAACTAAAAAAAAATAGTCCATTCGCCTATTGCAATGATACTTCCAGTACTTCTGACTCTCATAGAGGGCGCTAGTTACACGGTTCAGATCGAAATATTCCGAAAACGGAACACAGTATCGAGTTTTACCAAGAGTACCTTTTTGGTGTGAAATTGAATGATGTTCAAGTTCACATCAAAATTGGATTGAAAAATCTAACCTCAAAAAAGTTTTGTTCAAAACTACTCGCTACGAACCGTGTAACTAGCGCCCTCTATGAGAGTCAGATATAAAAACAAATGCATGAGATGTGTCAGATTCCAAGAAACATCCATACAAAATTTCATCACAATGTTGCCAGTAGTTTCGACATAATCTTGAAAATTGTGTAAAAAATCATTTTTTCAACACCTTGTATCTTGATAACGGATGCCGTTGCGGAATTTTTTTACTAAGTAAACCCAACTTATTTTGCAGTGTTCTACCTACCCTAGTAAGGGGGTCTGGTTTTTTTGAAACACCCTGTATAAACTTTTTTTACTATTTTTGTTCCTAAAATCTGTGGTTGATATTTATCTATGAAATTTCGGGACACTCTGTATAAAAGTACAAGTTTACATAATATTAAATAACAAAAATTGCATAACAAACATCAAATTCTATAAATCTATTATTTTGTATTCATAGATAGATAGATGGATAGATAGATATTTCTTTCCATACTGAAAACATGGAATCGTCATATAAAATAGTACTATACAAAACAGAAGTGTATATATCACTAACATCTAGCAAGAATAATATATAATAATTCAAGTGGGTAAGTCTCACATATCGGGTGGGTGAATCTCACATTTCGGTTAGGTAAATTTTATATTGGTAAATATCACATTTTGGGAAAGTAAACATCACATCTCATTTATTTAGTTTAAAATACTGATTTGGACTATTTTTTATCATTTTGCAATTCGCAACTGTTCGTTTAAGAAGTGCCAAAATATAGTATGAATGAAATCAGTCAAATTATATCTGAAGTTTCCACCTCCTACTTATAGTTGAAGCTGTAGGTAGGAGTCAAAATATTCGAAGACACCAGGTACCTTACTAGGTTTGTTCTCGTTCGAAAAATGAATGGTCCTAAACCATCAGAAGCATGCGCAGTTCCACGGAACATGAAAAATACCAACAGTTCTGTGAAACTGCGCATGATCCTGATGGTTTCGGGCTGTTTGTTTTTCGACGAGAAAAAACCTACTATTTCTATGTACCTCCAAGGTCACCTCAACGTCAAGACGGTGACATACGTGGTGCTCGACGAGGCCGACCGCATGCTGGACATGGGCTTCGAGCCGCAGATCCGCAAAGTGATGTACTCAATAAGGCCGACGAGGCAGACGGTGATGACCAGCGCCACCTGGCCGATGGGCGTGCGCCGGCTCGCGCAGTCCTACATGAGCGACCCCATACAGGTGAGATTTTAGGAGAACGTTTGATTGCCGTCCGGTTGCCTGGTTGCTACTGGAGTTCCAAACCAACAACCTCTCTAGCAAAGTATACGCAAAACAGTTTTAAACGCCAAACACGAATAAATGGATGAAATCGCGAATGGTGGGGAAAACTCTGCGGTATCATTGCCAGAGAGTGACTACACCATTTGAATATTTGTACATTCATGTAATAAGCATTCCCCATACAGGTTTACATCGGTACGCTGGATCTGGCTGCCACACATACTGTCACGCAGGTCATTCAGCTGATGCCCGATGAGGAGAGTGCCAAGATGGAAGCGGTAAGTGAATGGGCTAGCTAGAGGACTGCTATTGAATGATTGGCATTCAAAAACTTCACTGTATCGTTAGGGACTATAATATTTTTTGACAACAATTCTTTGTTACGCGTTTTTGATGTAAATAATGTGTCTATAAGATGGAAGCGGTAAGTGAATGGGCTAGAGGACTGCTATTGAATTATTGGCATTCAATTATTTCACCGTATGTTAGGGACTTGAATATTTTTTGGCAACAATTCTTTGTTACGCGTTTATGATGTAAATAATGTGTCTATGCGTTGTTCGAAGTTTTTGAATATAAGAGCTCATCTCAAAGGTGCCGTCATTTAGCCAGGTTCTTCGGTACGTCGGATATATGGTGACGTCAGGTCTTATACCGTTTCATTATTGGTCAGATAATCTTCCATTCCCACTCATGAAGCAAGGTTGCCAAATCACCAATTATAATCAAGTTATCAAAAAGTTGTTAGAACCCTGTCGTTGACAATATTGATTGATTGTCTTTATTGCCTCAAGAAACATTTCTGTTCATAATCGGGAGACATGAATACATATAAAGAAAATATAATAATGGGTTAACTAATAAGTGCCACTCAGTGGAAACAAATTAATATTGTTTCTTAAGATGAAAGTTATAACATTTAATTTCTGTGTAATAAAATCTTGCCACATATTTTTCATTCAAATGGTGCATTTTTTAAGATTGATTTTAAACTTTCTTGCATCATGTATAATTGTGTAAAATTATTCATTTGACCTAATGGGAAGAAGCCATGATATTGAATTAATCTATGACTTTCGAGCAAGCAGCTTAACTTGAACAAAACATCATGTAAATGTTGGCTAGGCTAGAGACTTGGCAATGCTGTGCTAAATGCTAAGAATGAAGAGAATTCTTTATTGAATTGAATACACATGTTATACAATCATTATTACTCAATTCTACTGGCTATCGACCTAGTTCCTTTAGCCCTTGAGTGTATACTAATAATATACTATCAGTCCTACTTGATTTTACAAATGATCACTATAGATTGACAAAAAAAAAGAATTATATGAGTTTTCTTGAGGTTAACATTGTTGAACCAATCATAAAAGTATTTCAATGAGCGGTTCTTCTGGCTGTTTGTGTATGGCCTGTACTTCGGTGTTTCTTCTCTATAAATGAATCATCAATTCCAACATTTTCACTCTAACCAGTTGGCGTTACTAAAACCTGAGGCCAATGTCAAAGTCAAAAATGCCATAATTTTGTCGGATAGCCCTAAAATGGCTTGGTGCAAAAATCAAAATGTCAACTGATTTCATGTCAAATAGCTGTCAGCCGTTATTTTGCTGCTATGGTAATGAACATTTGCATTTATCGAAACCATATCTACCAAGATTTTCATGGTTATAGTGACAACAACGATGTAATACTTCTCGGCCTAGTTCGGAATGCAGAGGGTAGTTGGCTTCATTTTGACAGGTTATGGTTTTGTTATTTATGCATTGTAATATCTCGAATAGAGCTAGATCCTAAACGAAAATATCATTGAACCAATGAATCACTATCGGCTACATTCAATGATACTGTCCTTCTTAATTTCATAGGAATGGTGGAGGAGACAAGTTCTTCTTTTATTCATTTTTCTCTGAAGTGAAATTTGATCTTACGAAAAAAAGAAAAATACGTATATATTCATTTTTGACAAGCTTCACAATGAGATAAGAATCTCAATATTGGAGACTTCCCCATTGCAACCAAACGTTCAAAAATCAAAATGTCAACTAATTCCATGTCAAATAGCTGTCAGCCGTTATTTTGCTGCTATGGTAATGATTTATCGAAACCATCTCTACCAAGATGTTCATAGTTATAGTGACAACAACGATGTCATACTTCCTATGGGGCGCCGTTTGGTTCATAATTATTTTTTTCGATATATAGACATTTCAACTCAAAATATAGAAAAAATCCTATATAATATACGAACTTATCAATATTATATGCAAAATTTCTTGTATCGTGTGAAAAATGTTCTATATATTTAAGTGCGACGAAATTTCAATATATATTAGTATGCCTCGCGCCGTTTGGTTCATAATTATTATTTGTAATATATAAAATTTTTACTGAATTTATATAGAAAAAAGTCTATATCAAATGCACAAATTTTATATATGACGAAATCTTTATATATTTGCGTGTCAGGAAAGTCTATATTTGCGCGTCGCGAAAGTTTATATTTGGTTGTACCAGTGTGTGCAGAAATAGACTTTCGGGTTCCAGGGTTTACCGATAGGTGGCTGAACGCGGCTGGACGTCAGCACAGAATGAGGTTAGAGGATCTGGCAACACTGATATTATTATATTCTGGTTGTATCCAAAATACTCATCTGCCTAGAATGGAGAAGAAATGGCAATTATTATTTTTTTTTTTCGAGTAAAAAAGTTTTTCCCAACGGTTTCAGTGGAAGAGTTTCTCAATGAAATTGTTGAATGTCACGATAATGTGGTGAATCTACTTTCTCAAGGAGATTCTTCAAGGGCCTTATCTCAAGCTCAGTGGAAAATTCAGGACTACTGTAGGTTGTTGAACATATTCATTGATAATATACTGGCCTGTGAAAGGTTGAAACAGTTATTATCATCAGTTTACAATATACTGTTTGATATTTATGGTCAAATTGAGCATGTTCTCAATACTGTTGATTCGCAGGACCGAACCTATGTATATTTTACTTCATCCACTAGCAGTAACAGTGTTGGTCCCCCGAAGTATGATATTTCAAAGGAACAATTAAGGATTTTAAGAACATCAGGTCTGAGTTGGACCAGAATATCAGGATTACTTGGTGTTTCTAAAGCTACATTATATAGACACAGAATAGCAATGAATTTCTTGAAACCTCAGTGTTGCCAGATCCTCTAACCTCATTCTGTGCTGACGTCCAGCCGCGTTCAGCCACCTATCGGTAAACCCTGGAACCCGAAAGTCTATTTCTGCACACACTGGTACAACCAAATATAAACTTTCGCGACGCGCAAATATAGACTTTCCTGACACGCAAATATATGAAGATTTCGTCATATATAAAATGTCTGCATTTGATATAGACTTTTTTCTATATAAATTCAGTAAAAATTTTATATATTACAAATAATAATTATGAACCAAACGGCGCGAGGCATACTAATATATATTGAAATTTCGTCGCACTTTAATATATAGAACATTTTTCACACGATATAAGAAATTTTGCATATAATATTGATAATTTCATTTATTATATAGGATTTTTTCTATATATCGCGTTAAAATTTCTATATATCGAAAAAATAATTATGAACCAAACGGCGCCCCATGCTTCCCGGCCTAGTCCGGAAAAATATGTAGAATTTTTCTTTGAGAAAAAACGTCCGGAAAAATTGTAATAATGATGATAATTGTTCCTTATTGGTTAATCTATTCGTCGTTCAGATTATGGACTTCGCCCACAACATGGGGCCCGACCAGAAGGTGATCGTTTTCTGCGGCAAGAAGTCTCGCGCAGACGAGCTGTCCTCCGAGCTGGTGCTGGCCGGCATCAACTGTCAGACGATACACGGCGACAGGGATCAGTCGGACAGAGAACAGGCGCTGGTCGACATCAAGGACGGGACCGTGCAGATCCTCATAGCGACGGACGTCGCATCGAGAGGATTGGACATTGATGATATAACGTAGGTCTTCATGAAATCGGACGTCATGGTTAGATACATGGGTAAAACTGCATTTATCATGCGAAATTTCGAACTTTTTCTTGAAATATCTCGATAAATAGGGGTTTGTTCACATTTTCATATCAAATTCGTGTTTTCAGACTAAAATACGAAAGTACCAAAAAAATTTTCGAAAAAAAAACCATCGCATGATAAATGCAGTTTTACCGATGCATGTATATGTCGTATACCTATTACCCTTGATTATTTACATATGTTTACACTAACAAGATCCATGTAACATGTTGAAGCCTTCTTCTTCTTCTTCTCTGCACAGGTGGGCGGGTGCGTAGACCCCTGCACTCAGGCCTCTTCAGTCGGGCCCATTGTGCGCCCACTTGTCCTGTGAATCAGCTGGGCATGCCGATTTCTTTGACGAAATTCAGCAGCTTCCTCAGCTGAGTCACTTTCACATCCTTTGGGTGCAGTACAATGCTCCCAAAGGCAGCTTTCCTCTGATGCACCAGCGCGGGGCATTCAGTGAGTATGTGTGATGATGTTTCATCATCCTCCAAGCACCATCTGCAGATGGGATCATCTTTGATCCCTATGAGTTCTAGGTGCCTGTTGAGGTGGTTGTGCCCAGTTAAGAGCCCAACTACCATCTTGAGATCCCTTCTATTAAGTGACCGGATCTCTCTTGTGAGCCTTTTTGAAGGTTCCTTTATATGGAGCTTTGATTGTCTCATTCCTGGTGTGTCCCACCATGTTTCAAGGAACTGCCTCTGTAGCATTTCCTTCATGAAGGACATAGCCGTACTATTGGGTATTCCCAATATCGGTTCTGGTCCAATGGGTGTCGTTCCTGAACCGATCTTGGCTAGTCTGTCTGCCTCCTCGTTCCCCGGGATACCAGAGTGTCCTGGAACCCACATGTTGAAGCCAGCTTTGTATTTAATTTTTGGCTGGTCCGTAGGCGGCGCTAGCAAAACTCAGCAAAATATGGCCGGTTTATCAATACTCTTATAATTTGCTCGAGTCTATTGATCTGCTGCTGAAGCATTGTCGATCTAAATGGAGAACCTATTTTGATAGTTAGTAGGCAAGAGGTATAATTTCTGTTCATTTACCCAAAATTTGTCTGCCCATCATTGGAGCTACTGTATAGATCGCGTGCACGATGACCGACCCTGGAGGTGAAACATTAAAGCACAACCTCACTTTTCGTTATGAACGTTTATGAAGGAATCAAACGATTGAAGTACTATTTCACAATATGTTGGCATACGAATCGTGTTTTTCAAGCATGCCATCACATCGTGCTCATGTACAATGCCCAAAAAATGCAGCGAGAGTCGAAGAAATTTTGTTATTTCTCATTAGAATTCCTTCTACCACTTCTGCAATAGGAGCTAATAAAAACACTCCGCCAGATCCTGCCAATGCCAATGGAATTCGCTATAGAACTAAAACATGGCCCTTTCATTTGTTCTTAAAAGGCCAGATTAGGTTTTGTGCCAATGCCAACATACGAAATTGATTCTATACGATATGTTCTTTGTATTCCAGTCATGTGATCAACTATGATTTTCCGAGAAATATAGAAGAGTACGTACATAGAGTCGGCAGAACAGGTAGAGCAGGTAAATACGGAGAGTCGATAAGCTATTTCACGAGAAGCGATTGGGCACAAGCCAAGGAACTCATCAAAATCTTGGAGGAAGCCCAACAGGTAACGATATTATATGTAGTAGAAATAAATAAATGAAATGAAATTCGAATTTTGCACCCTCTCAGATAGTGCTTTTGACTAGTTATCAGAACATCAAAAGATTGCTAGTTGAACCCCTCGCAAAGCAGATAATTTTTTTTTTTTTTGATGTATAACAAATTGATATACATCATACAGGACGTGGAAAGAAATTCTGAAGTGAGAAAACACACGAATCTGCGATTAGCGGTCCATAAAAATAATAAATTCCCATCGTTCAAGTTTGAACCCCTTGATTGAGTATGAAAGTATCAAAAAGGAATATTTTCAGATATATTATGAACATGAAAAAAATGGATACATATAAAGAAAAACATGACGCAGCACATAGCCAAGAAAGTAGTTGTTTTCTGTTGAATATTCTGATAAACACTGTAGAAGCTGTTCAAATTATACGAGGTGATTCACTGGCGGGCGAATTAAAGGGTTTATGAACCAAGCTGAATTAAGGACGAAGTTTCAATAATTGTTGTCCTGAAAATGTCTTTTCACCGAAATATAGGGTGTTAAGTGTCGGCTGATAGTTTCTTCATTATACAGGGTCTCTTTAAATAATCGTGACATCGCAGTGATCGTTAACATATTTTACCTACGGCCACTATAGAAAGCAGGCAAGAACACACGAGATACAGCCTCAGTAAATAGCTCTTTAGCTTTAGCACAGTAAGCATATCGCACAGTTTTCGTCTATTCCGCCAGTATTGGTTTGTCATGATTGCATCATCGCCGTCAACAGCGGATGACATAAACTGTCAAGAATTATAATTCAGATGGCTTCAAATCCCGTAAACAACAAGCACTATTTCAACTGCCACTACGTACTAAGATCATTTATAGAAACCCTGTATGTTTTCACAGAGTGAATAAATGATTCAGATTCTTTCTGTATTTTCTTTTTAAAAATGGGTAGACAAAAAAGTTCAGGTACAACAAAGAGAGAGAAAGATGGTACTTGGTACTGAATCCGCTTGTATAACAGGGTTCCGCCGATTTGATAGAGACAGTATTGCTATTTCCTAAACGGTAAGAGATAGAAAGTTTATCAAATTATATGAAAATTGCGTAATTTAATCCTTCTCAATATGACGTTTTACAATTTGAAAAAGCTTCAGCCGTTCATGAGATATTCTGAAAAAACTGAAAATCACTGATTTTGTTGTTATGTATTCTCTTGGTTAATATTGGAAGGAACAATTTGTAATTTTGCTTAAGCAGGTAATCAATCATGACAAAGAAATTGGGTTTATCAGAAATATTTCATCTTCAATAATTTCGAAGATTCACCATACAACTTTTGTTTTTCTCATGATTTCCAAGGTTAAATTCAGGTAATAGTATCCCAATTATTTGATGAAACATTTGTATCCTTGGTTTTTCTGTGCCTTTTTTCCTTTATTGTAGCGTGTTATACATAGCTATGAAGGAGTATTAATACTGTAACCAACAATATAATAATGTAATGTACATAAAACAATATGGCGCCCTTAAGGAAAACAAAAGTTTTATGGTAAATCTTCGAAACTGATGAGGATAGAATATTTCTGATAATCCCAACTTCTTTGTCATGATTAATTACCTGCTTATGCAAAATTTCAAATTTTTTTCTCGAATATTATCCAAGAAAATGAATAAAAACGAAATCAGTGATTTTCAGTTTTTTTGGAATATCTCAGGAACGGCTGGAGTTTTTTCAAATTATACAACGTCAACTTTTGTTTGATTTGATCAACTTTCTATCTCTTACAGTTTAGGAAATAGCAATACTGTCCCTATTAAATCGGTGGGACCCTGTATACGGAATGACCCTGAACCCAAAGAAAGTACAGTCGCATTAAAAAAAAAACGTACGAGTATATTACAGAGAGAAATTAACGTCACCCTATTATGCATAAAACGGGCTATCGGGAATGATTGTTTACCAAATGTTGACAGTAAAGTTGTCATATTTTCTCAAAAACACAAAGCGTTGGCTGAGCCAGTTTAACACAACTAGAACTAGGATCCCGAAATCCTCTCTTTCTAATACTTGTACGCTATTTTATTGAATACGACTGTACACTTATACAGTTCTAGCAGAATAACTCATCATATCCCACATTCCTAATGAATCATATTCCTTTTAGTATGTACCTGAAGAGGTCCATCAAATGGCGGAACGTTATAACGTTTGGAAAGAGAAGAAAGACAAGGAGAGAGAAAGTGGTGGGGGCGGCGGCAGGGGCCGCGGAGGCGGAGGATATGGTGGTGGGGGAGGATATGGTGGTGGGGGAGGATATGGGGGAGGAGGAGGTAGGGGTGGATATGGTGGAGGGGGAGGTAGGGGAGGGGGTCGAAGATGGTGAACGAACAATTAGTTGAATCTCGTTACATTCTCTGATTTATCGAATTGCATTTAAATTATTATTTTTTACAAGTTGATGAGTTGAATATTTAGTTTCAATTTTTTGAGGGCTACTTTTGTACAAATTTAAAAAATAAAAGTCTATGTCCTCCATCCTGGTTTTATTTAATTCATTGTCTCATTTATGCACCATATTCTGAAGGGACAGTTCTTGTCATTATCCTTATACATATCCAGGTTTTGTTCGGGTTATTTGCAAGGGTCCTACAAAATTTGAGTGGCAAATACTTGATCATAGGTAGGCAGGGGAGGGGGTCGAAGATGGTGAACCAACAATTATTTGAATCTCATTACATTCTCTGAATTATCGAATTGCATTGCATTTTCATGTTTTATCCCTTGACTTCGACTTATGGCAACGTCTTGCCTGTCATTATTTGACATTATCTTCAGTGTTTTCTAACCAAGTTCGGTTATATTTAAATACGTGCTGGCTGTTTGCACTATCAATTTTATTGATATTTTCCTTAAGTAGGGCATTCATAAGGGCATGGTAGACAGTTGACCTTGTTTCATTATACATTCATCCCATAATTTGTATCTACAAACCCTTTCTTGGCATTATTCTTATACATATTCAGCTTTCGTCCGGGTTATTTGCAAGGCTCCTACAAAATTTGAATGGCAAATACTTGATCATAGGTAGGCAGGGGAGGGGGTCGAAGATGGTGAACCAAAAATTATTTGAATCTCGTTACATTCTCTGATTTATCGAATTGCATTTAAATTATTATTTTTTACAAGTTGATGAGTTGATATTTAGTTTCAATTTGTTGAGGGCTACTTTTATACTAATTTAAAAAATAAAAGTCTATGTCCTCCATCATGGTTTTATTCAATTCATTGACTCATTTATGCACCATATTCTGAAGAGACAGTTGACTTTGTTTCATCACATTTATCACATAATTTGTATCTACGAACTCTTTCTTGTCATTATCCTTATACATATCCAGCTTTTGTCCGGGTGATTTGTATGGGTCCTACAAAGTTTAACAATCTCTGATTATGGATACTTTTTTCATTGATTGAATGAATTCATTATAGTTGAATAAACTTAACAAATAAATTCCATGAATCTTAATTTGCTACTCTTGTGATTCTCTTTGATTTGAAGTATTGGAATTATAATAGTTGAAAATTTGCCAATAGCGTTGTTTTGCATTATAAAATATAACAATTGAAATAGTTCTTTGTTTTACTAGGCAGAAAAGAACAAGATTTTTAATGCCGCGGATGGCGTTTCAAAGCCGAGGCTAGCAAACCAGCAAAGGCATTGCCATGTGAAACATATATTTTCTTCTTCAAATTCGTTCCGATTTCACGCAAAGTAAAAAAATACATCATTTTGTGTTCACCCAGAGTTATAGCATAGCAACAAACTTTTTCTGCCTAGGCAATAAGAGCTAGTACACCTCTTCTACCTGTTAAGTAGTGTCATTAAAAAGCCACTTTCAATGTAATTTGGAGAAAAACAATATTTTTCGATTGTCAAAATACATGTGCCAAAATTTAGTTGAAATCGGAAATTTGTTACAGATATTCGATTATGTGGATTGCTGCTCTTACTGCATAATGTTCTCTTCATTTTCAGAGGAGCAATACGGCCCAATATTTCTGTCGGACATTCAACTACTGATCAGAAGTAATCTACACACGGGATTTTTCCTTCATCCACAATGATAACAAAGAAGTTCTCTTTTTTGCTTCAATTGTGCGTTTTTAAAGTTTCAGAAGACTGTTCAAATTGCTTTGTTATTGACCCCAACGAAAATATGAAGACTAAATTTCGCACCTTGTTTTTGAGATTTTCGTTGAACTTTACCACGTTGACGGACTTGAAACAACCTTTTTCGTCCTCTTCTGTGTAGTTCCTGATGCAACAGCAGAGGCTGCATAGTCGCAGTACAAGCGCAAATGGATACGCCAAGAAAAACACTAGATTCAGACAAAATCCGGTCTTTCTAAAATAAAAAAAAATGTATATTCAGCAAAGAATTGGCGAAAAATTGAATTTCTCAAGTTCCCCAATGATTTTGGTGACTTGACAACACTACCTCGAGCTAAAATATAATGGTTCTTTCCCTTGTATAATAAATAACTATTTTATTAAATATTCCATTTTCGAGTTTTTTCACTCTACCTACTGAACTTTGTGTTGATTCCATTGCAGGGTGCCCCACAATAACGTTCGTATACTCTTGAGTTCCTAAATGTACTTGACACTGCTATTTTGACGTACATTTAGGAACGCTAGGTGGTAATTGATAAATTGAAGATACATACTATTCCATGTTTAAAAGATGAAAAGCAATGTAATGGGCTTATATCACAAAAAAATTGTATTTCATAATTCGATAGAACTCACCCAAACTAGGTCACCACAGCAAACCGTTTCTTGCTGTGAGCTCCCTACGTTTTATTAAAATTTATTGAAATCCACGATTTTTCGGACCTCTGAAAACGAGGCGATGATGTGACGTCAAAACCCTAATACAGAAACAAGACTATTCCAGACGGAGGTGAATGATACATGATTTCTGACAGAGTGAATAAGCGCGAGATCACAGTTGAAAGAATTAATATATCAGTTGCCTCAGTCTCCGTCGGGCTTTTGGTATTTTCTTTTAACTATGGCGAGATGGGGTTTCTACGTCATAAGAGGGTCCGTTTTCAGAAGGTACTATAATTTATGTCCAAAAATAAAACATTCTAGTTGATTTTTCGATCGAATTATGTCGTCAATCATTATTTATGTATAAAAGGATCATTATAAACATGGTTTAGTTAAAAGTTCTACTTAGGTGTACACGCCCATTAAGAGTACCGTTTTTATGTAATTTTCTAATGCTCCTATTTTCACCAAATAAAACACGAGGAAAAATGTGGTCTTCAAAAAATCATGATCCACCCTCTAAAAGCACCCCTTATAACAATATCAGAAATATAGAAGTGTATCAAAAAAATGTATTTTGTAATTTTCATCAAGAAACCGCTGCAATCAGTAAAAATCGGAGTATACAAATTATTAACAAGTTCTTGATAGACAAATAATGAAAGAACAGTGCAACTTAATACTTTTAAATCGTTCTTAATGTACATTTTGAAAAGACGAACGAAACTTACTTGGATATAACTCGAACGGTCCTCTCATTAGTGTACGGGTTGATAGGCCATCCTGCTATATCGTACTGAACGGGTAGATGTTTATATTCCTTTTCTTGGTATCTTTCCAAAGGTTTGGGCAAATCTACTAATATACTCAAACCTAAATCTCCTAGTCTTCTCGAACAGTATAATCCCAATAGTCCTTTGATAATACCTAAAAACATTACAGGGAAATTCAAATATACCTACTCTTACTGTGTGAAAAATTATTTCTTCTTACCTAAGAGTAGTAGAATGAATACAATTCCCATAAATATCAATAAAAACAAGTACCAAGGATTTTCCCATATATTCTTTCTGTAAAATGGACCTGCATCATCTGCAGTATTGCCGCAGTATCTTTCATTTCTATTCCTGTATCTGAATATCCAAAAGTCATTTTGGCTTGCAAATACATAGGAAAATGAGGTGAAAAGCATCAAAATTCCAGTACACATTTCAAACAAACTTTGACAAAAACTGATTCAATGACATAAACTGACATGAACTATAAACATGTGCTATGATTTGTACAGGGCAGAGAGCACTATTTTTGTAGCAACTTTTCATCCCAGGAGAATTAAAAAATTCATAGGCAGTAAATGTTTCGACGATTTATTAAATATATTGATTTCTAACAAACAAATCAATTTGGTATAAATTATTAACCTGTAATCAAACCCTGAGAATTTGCGATGATGCTCGATCACAAACAGATTTGCTACTTCCTTGGCTTATTTCTATTCTAGCAAACGTTCCCGCTACATAACCTTTAGTCACCCTCTCAGGGTTCACTACCAAACAGTCTTGAATATTCTGTAACATCAATAATGCTTTAAAAAGTGCGGATGCGGATGATGAGAAAAAGGATATGTAGAAAGCAAAGCAAAAAACAGAAATATTTGCATAACAAGGGGAAAAAGTGGCACCTTTCCTTTCAAGGATGAAGCGTAGCTTTATGGAACCATTACACTATGGTCTACATTTGCAATGCTGCCAGAACTCGAGAAATTTTTTTCTGATCAAAAGTCAGTCATATGATACACTGGAACCTCATCTCGGGACCGTATTCGTGATTTCTCCTTAATCCCCCTTTAATCTCCCATTGGAACAAAAATACGATTTTTTTTCGTAAGTCTTACATTTCTTGAATTTTTTCTCTAGAACTCTACTTGAGCTGACGATTGGGAAGAACTGTTCTCATGTTTTGTGGAGGACAATAGAAGACGAAAAAAGCACTATTGTGGAATATACAGGATGATAAGAAAATAGGACAAAATCTAATTTCAGTAAAAAAAAAACGAATATGGTGACTAAAACCATGGCCCATTCGATTCAGTATATTCAGAAACGACCTTCTCGATATCCATTATTTATATTAGACTATAACTCGAAACGTTTCGAAAATCCGTCTAATTGAAATACAGGATGAAAATTTTCAATTCAAACTTGTTTCCTGATATCGATGGTTCTTATCAACTGATTTCCAATGTTTTGAAACACTCAGTATATTGAACAACAATACTCTGTGTCCTGGAAATTTCCATCCTGTATTTCAATTAGAAGCGAATTTTCGAAAAGGTCCCGAGTTAATAGTCTAATATAAATAATGGGCCATGGTTTTAGTCATCATTTTTGATTTTTTTACTGAAATGATATTTTGTCCAATTTTCTTATCATCCTCTATATTCCACAAAAGTGCTTCTTTCGTCTTTCATTGTCCCCACAAGAAGAAGAGTTCTTCCCAATAGTCAGCTCAAGTGGAGTTCTAGAGAAAAATTTCAAGACATGCAAGACTTGAAAAAAAATCGAATTTTTGTTCCAATGGCCGATTAAGGAGAAATCACGAAAACGTCCCGAGATGAGGTCCCAGTTTATCATAATATGACTGACTTTTGATCAGAAAAAAATTTCTCGAGTTCTGGCAGCATTGGAGTTGTAGACGATAGTGTAATGGTTCCACTTTACACCCTGTGTAAGTTTTGTTCTGCGGACTTTTTCAGAGTGTTCTAGCTCTCTTTGAAGCCGATGAAATATCACAACTGATATCAAAAACCGCATGAAGATCGGTCAGTTTTTTTAAAAATACAGGTCCTCGAAATAGAGTCAAATTATGAGTGGTCCATTTAGTGTGTTGAGAACTGTAGTTTGGTTCGAAATTTTTCGCTTTTTTGCATGATATTGAGCCAGAAAAAGTACTTCTCCCCCCTAGAGAGGAAAGGTACAACTTTGCTCCCTACAATGAGGCCAGGAAATGTATATTTTGGATAGAGGTAGGCGGAAAAATTTTATCATCAAAATCGAACAGGAAACTCGTTTCAATTACCTTGATAAAATGGCGCAAATTTGAGGGAAGCACCAAAATGTGTGGTTTGCAGTGCAAAGTGCCAAACTGTTCCAGCAGCTCATGGTCTATACACATATCCTTGAGAGGGGGGTATAGTGGATAGAAGCTATGTTGGTTCAAAATATGAGATGCCATACGACCCATCCTATCTACGGGTCCATTAGAATTTTTGTCCCTAGAAAAAAAATCGGATATGTCGAAAAATCCATGGGCAAGGTCATGATTTATCATTTACATTGGAGTTAGAGGTTTCTTATAGTTCGGGATACAGCGACATTTTCTACACATTTGACAAAGATAAATTTCATTATTGACGCACTATTTCATTATACAGGGTGGGCCACCAGTAACGCCTCGGTCTCTAGAAGGCTAACCACTTATCTTCTTGGAATTCTTCCTCTCTAGGAAGTTGCATGTCAACATAGGCTATCATTTAAAATTATTTCGAAACATACAGGGTGTCCCCAAAAACCATAAAACACTGAAGTTAAACTTTTTTCTATCGAACACCCTATATATTATTTCATTTTGAGATTCTCCCTGATGAGCTGATTTCAACGACCCATCATACTTGGGGTCTAGCAGTTATAATTACTGAAATATAGGGTGTGAAAAATCGAGATTTTCCAAGTTCAAGAATTTTTTGTGTCGAAACCATTCATAATTGGTCAAAACGGCTCACATGTCCCTATCTCAACTTTTGATCAACTATTTACTGACATTTAATTGAAACAAATACAGGGTGGTGCAGAATTCAGAATCTTGATCACCCGGTATATGTCCCAATTAAATATCAGTAGATAGTTAATCAAAAGTTGAGATAGGGACATGTAAGCCGTTTTGACCAATTATGAATAGTTTCGACACAAAAAATTCTTGAACTTGAAAAATCTTGATTTTTCACACCCTATATTTCAGTAATTATAACTGCTAGACCCCAAGTATGATGGGCCGTTGAAATCAGCTCATCAGGGAGAATCTCAAAATGAAATAATATATAGGGTGTTCGATAGAAAAAAGTTTAACTTCAGTGTTTTATGGTTTTTGGGGACACCCTGTATGTTTCGAAATAATTTTAAATGGTAGCCTATGTTGACATGCAACTTCCTAGAGAGGAAGAATTCCAAGAAGATGAGTGGTTGGCCTTCTAGAGACCGAGGCGTTACTGGTGGCCCACCCTGTATGTTATTTATTTTTGTGATAGCGCTCACTGCTCCAAATATGGTTTTTCATGACTTATTTTCAAATGTTAACTACAATTTTTTTATAATTCTTCTTCTTTTTCGAGATATCCATACTTGTTTATTATGTCAGGATGACCTATCATGTTTTGCAAGTTCCACCTTATTTGTGTTGAGTTATTGAATACAACATGTTCACTATTTTGCAAGCTCATCATCATTTGATCTGAGAGCTGATAATTGCCATATTGACTTTTTTTGTGGCAAAATTATTACTTTATACTGAAATAATAACACAATGGAGTCATTGTGATATCAGATACGGAAATAATATTGATGTCATACAAAGTACCTCATTGACGTATCGAACACAGTGAAACAAGAGCAATTTTGTGTTATAGCCGTAGAAAAAAATATTTATCGAAATTTGACATGTAATGTGACACTTTTCAAATCTGACGGAAGTTTTGAAACGTATTACTTTACGTAACCAGTTGCGTAAAGTAAAATATTACATAACTGGTGATGAAATGGTGATTATAATAATAATAAATAATAATAATATGCTTTGTTGGTTTAGACCCTTCCTTCCCATAGGTGGTATCTTAGACGACAGTGTCCCGTAAGCAGTCCTGTTGGGATTCACAGGTTACCCCTGCTCCATTCTAGGATCTGCCTGGTTATATTTTTGATGGTTTAGGCAGAAACGCCTTCGAATGGGTTAATCCTGGTAATTCAGACCAGTACGCCTTTTCCCCTCCGCCCAGTCAGAGATAGTTGTTTTGGCCGCACTTGCGGTGATCCCAAAGTATGTTTCTGGTCCTATGAACACATATTCGGTTACCTGTCGGCTTTCTCGTTGCCCTCCACCCCCTGAGCACAGTAACTCTGTTGTTTGCACCCAGGCATTCTAGGGATTCAATACAGATCCATACAAGCTTGGAATTTATCTTGGTGGAGCTCAGTGCTTCAAGAGCAGCCTGAGTGTCTGACAACACTGATGTTTTTGTTTACTAGAGGTCTATTCGTCAACTCTCTAGCACACAATTCAATTGCGAAGACCTCCACCTCATTCCGTCTGAAAGATTGTAGCATACTTACCGAGATTGACAAGAGATTTCCGTCTACGGTTTTCTGCTGAACACACCGGCTCCAACTCCAAGAGGGGTTTTCGAACCATCTGTGTATATTACGTGTTCGGTCTCTGGGAATAGGACTGATCCTTTCACCCACTCGTCTCTCTTCGGGAAGAGGACATTAAAAGTCTTTTTCACGTGTGTCTGAGAAGCCAACATGTCGGGAACCATTCCTAGAGTTTGGTGATTTTTTTATTCAACACAGTATCCCAGAGTAGTCCAGCGGTCGCCACCCTTGATTTTCCAGTGACAGGAATCTGTAGGAAATCATCCTAGCTTCCCTCTCCAAGACAATGGGGAGGGGACTGAGGTTCAGGAGGTTTTCCATCGCTGCCGTTGGAATAGAGGACACACAACTATTTAGTAATGAAAACGCATTTTGTTCAACTCTGTATTCTGCGCGATCTCGCTTCGCTCGTCCCCCAAAATCTCCTCGTCACACAAAATTACGCGTTTCCTAACTAGTTACGTAAATATCTTTTTCCGCAAATCGCTAGGAAATTTTGAAATTCCTGTCAAAATTTCTTGAAGAAAAAGTCAGGACTTCCTTACTGTGAGGAAATGTCATTTCCTTACTGTAAGGAAATGATATTCCCGTACAGTTGTTAGTGTTCTACATAAATGATTGAAAACACATTGCTTATAAGGAATTAATTTATATTTTGAAAACATCAAGTCATTGCTGAATACATTTTTGAGATCAATTTGTTATATTTACAGTAATTTGACAGTTAGTACAATTATTGAACATTGGAGGAACACTGTCAGAACTATGAGAAACATTTTGGACAACATGCGGGGTGGTAGGGTTATTTTGTTGAATATTTTGTACTGTGAAAATTTTATTTGCCACCTCAACCTTATTGTTAAGCGATTCTTCGATATATCCTTCAGCAACGTTTGATGACTTCCATCCGCCATGCCTCTTTAAACTAGTTATGTCGGCACCAGAGTCAACCAATATTGTTGCAGAAGACCGACGAAAGCAGTGACCAGTATATTCTGTCGGATTTACCAAGTTCAAATAAGTAGCAACTATTCTGGGCATTTTTCTAAATTGATGAATTCCTACCACTTGTCTACAACCCTTTCCGCTTTGATATTTGAAGAAAAATCGGTCACTGTTCATATTTTCTGGTCTTAACGAAACATACTTTCGATAAACATTCAAGTAGATCTGATTATTTACAAATGATCTTGGTTTGTTGGTTTTCGAATCAGGTATGCTGCTTAAAAGCTTAGATTCTAGGTCTTCTATATCGTGTACAGTCATTCGGACTAACTCATCCATTCTACAGGCCCCAGAAATACCAAATATTACAGCCACCTAAAAAGTAAATAAAGGTATAATCTAAATAGAAATTAAAACCTTATAAATTACCTTAATCATTAAATTTTCTTTATCTGGAGCTTCCTGGATACATTTTTCAATTTCTTCCTTCGTTAAAATCTTAGATTTCTTTGCCCTATAACCTTGAGCTTGCCGTTTCAATAAAGAACGAAGTTTTGAGTATGTAGATATATCTACATTGTGTTTAATTGCAAGGGTTGACTTCAGCATTGAATAATTGGCCCATAATGTTGAATATTTCATCTTTAAACAAAGGTCTAAAAAATGTATGCCATTACAACATTTTCTGAGAAAGAACTCGTATTTTTACTCATGCGATAATCCATAAAACATCTCTATGCATTTTCGTACTTTTCTCTTGATTTCTTTGGCAATAATTCTAATGAAGCAGTATTCACTACCTCAACCAGCTCTGGAGGAGTCCCAGGAATGGAAATTTCATCATCACTTATCATTTTACTTTCAAGAACACCAGCAATTAAATTTATAAGCGTCAAGTTTGACAATTCAACCTCAATACGTTTCCATAGTAACCCAAGTAATTTTATCAGGAATTTCAAAGCACCATTTATTTGGGAATAAAATTATCGCGTTTTTTTTTTAAATCAATCAATACCTGTCGAATTTTAAACGATTTGCGGAAAAATAGTATGTTTACCTCGTAGGAAAAGCCACATTCCTGGACTCTGTGTTGCTAAGTCTCGGCTTGCGCCTCGACTAGCAATCTTCACAGTCGCCCAGGAATGTTAAGCTTTTCCTACCCGGTCAACAATGTACTATTACATACTCACAAATATAATTCAAAATTGCTGATATGTAACAACACATCAGCAGTCGTCGCCCCAATAACAAGCCCATTGATATCAATCAAGCAAGGATCCGGGACGAAAGTGAGGTTGGGATACTGCTCTATGATCCTATAAGGTGGCGTCGGATACACAGGGTGATGATGGGCGTCCTTTTTCGAAGAAACTACAACGACATGCACGGCAACTTGTTGAAGGTTGTTCATGATATTTTCTATCAGCCCCTCGAAAAACGAATCGAACGTTTGGGGCAACCCTCCGTTGTGGATGCTTCCATGGGAACGTTCGAGGAAGGGCCCCATCAATATCAAAACGTGGGGTTGGTGCTCTGTGACGTACTTCAGAAGGTCGTGTAGGGGCTCGTAAGACAGGTTGTCTTGTAGCGTGAACGGTCCTGCTGCTACCACAATTTGCATGGGCTCTAAAAATTTAACATCTGTGAGATTCAATTCAGTACAGTAGGTACGACATTGTGTCATTAGTAATAAGAGTGAAATGAAGACAAGTACAGTGTGTCCAGTTTTCGATGCTTTTGCCTGATATCTCAGTTATCTTTGGAGATAGAACCTTGCGGTTTTCGCGGTCCTGTGCCACTTTTTTGTGAAACTCAAGGTGGCCTAATCAGATTTTGCAAGACTGTTTCCGTCTATGAGATACAGGGCGATTTTGAAAATTTATACTATTTGGACCCCCTCCATATCCATGAAGTTTCTCAACAAAAATGTCAAATCAAAATCTTATCGCATAGAGAATTCGACGCATAATCCAGTGGCGCACTCAATTTTTTTTTTCGGGGTATGGTTTTGGAGATATGACTCAAACTTATGATTTTTTAAATGGAATATCCTGTATTTCATGAACTCATTGAATTCCTTATTTTTTTGTCTTCAAAATGATGTATAACGGATGAATATAAAATTTTAAAAATTGCTCAATATCACTAAAATATTGAATTTTGATAGTTGGTTATGGATTTTTCTCATAAAAAACGTTCCAATTGAAGAAATATTTCTTCAAATTTTTCCATGGAGAGGTCAAAACCAATATCAACACTTATTAATTAACAAAACACTAAACTTTTGTACCTGATAGCGACAAATAAATAGTAATAAAAAGTTTATAATGTAGAATAAGCACCTGATTAAAAAATTTTAACTAGAACAATTGCATTCCGGAATTATTCAGTAACTTATTCATTGACATGTTCAAATTTATATCCATTTTCCCTAACATACATTTGACAAACTTCCTTAATAATTCTTAATACAGTGAGTGGCCCAACATACTTGAAGAACTTTGTGCAACAACAGAGGCAGTTTTCCAGGACAAAGACATCTTTCAATGATTAATATGTATTGAGAAAGTTTGTGATGGAAAATGGACATCAATTTGAACAATTCAATGAATAAATCACTGAATAATTTCGAAATTCAATTGTTTTAGGTAAATATTCAATCAGGTTCTTATTCTAAATTATAAACTTTTTATTACTATATATTTGTGGATATCAGGTATCTAAGTTTTGTGTATTGCAAGTTAATTAAAAAACCTCAACAGAACATGTTAAGCTAAGCACAAACATATGAAAATTTATAGAAAATACAATATTAAAATCATTATGTGATTATGAATCTTGAAAAAGTCTTGAAGAACCATGCTATGCTTTAATTTATTGGTTCAACATCAAGGATATTTTTCTTTAATTCTCTTACATTTACCCTATTTTCGTGAACGTCTGATGATTGCCGAGGGCCAAAAATAGTTACGTTTATTCAATTTTGATTAGTTTTGTGTGGTAGACCAGCTTGGAGTTTTATTTTGGTTTTCAATAAATATTTCATATCATGGTCGAAATTTATGGTTCTCACGCTAGATGTTTACTGTCTAGTAGGTAGATTTCAAAAGGCCATTTTCCAATGAAGAACAGAGAGATATGTTGGAAATTTATTATTTTCATCGAAATGTTCAAGTCACAAAGTGAAACATATTATTTAGAATGTTTTCTGGAAGACACCAACCGAATATTGAATATTCCTGGCTACACATCTTTCTTGGACTGCGCTATAACGAAATAACATTTTGTTTTAGTTGAATAAACTCAATTAATATATAAGTTTCTGCTACCTGGAGTTGATTATAAATGCCAGGTAGCGGAGGCAAGCAAGGCCTCCAAACAGTTCAAACTATTATCGGGACAATTAATATCAATTAGGATAATTTCGAACAAGTGGGGAGTTACAGATAGCAACAGCGCAACAGAGATGGAATCACAACATCAACGAATTAGAGAGAGGCAGAGAAACGCTATCGATTCGAATTACTCGGAATTATATATACTTACCTAATTATTGTATATATGTAAAAGTTATCCTGCTTGTTGAATATTCTGAGCATATAGTTTGACAACAGAACTTTGTTTGGTAAATATAGTTAATTTGATAAGCCCTTTACATTTGAACGAATTATAAGTATGTCGAATTTACGAAAGATCGAGAGATGGCTACAAGCCTAGAAACATAACCTAAAAATTAATGGATTGAATGAAGTTTAACGAGGTAATTAGAGAATTTTCACGAATTTGGCAAATAATTCATCCATATTTTCTGGATGAAGCCCTTAAGGGGCATGCATAGAATATTATATAGGTATCGAACTTTTATATTCCGGTGAGACAATACCTACATAATTTCACAGTATAAATAGAGCTCCCAAACCTGGGCCATGGGAAAAGTTGTTACTCATTATAACAAGGGACCCTCATGTCCATAATAGATGTTATGATTTGTAAGTCAATTTTAATAGTTCTCAATTGATTCATCTGTTTGAATAAATATATATTTTACTTTCATGAGATTATTACAGTTATGTTGGCATAATATACCCTCATCGCATTTGAAGCATTTCAATATCGAGAAACCTAGATTAAAATCATATTGTAAACAAAACAGTTATAACTTTTAAGTGAGGTGAATTTTCAATTTCAAATCGAAAATAACCTATTTTTCGCCAATGAAATAACTAATGAAATTTTCAATGCATTGGAATATTATTTTTTCATCGCCCCATCTTTCTCAAGAGAGGTCCACAAAAAAAACATTGGCGGATGATGAGTATATTTAATTTCATTGGGAACTATACCTTATTAAACCTATGTGAAAATGATTGAAGCAGTGGGGTATTTAATGGGGAAGGTCCAGTATATAATTTTAGACATCCCCAGAGTGATAACAAGAAGTTACATTATAAATTAGGAATACTAGTAAATTTTAGTTTTCAACAGATACATTTGTAGCATTATTTTTCATCATCATGTAATAAGTATGCCTATCAAAAAACAAATTCGACCATCCATATGCATTGAATTTTTTTAATGACTGAAAAAATAAAAAAATATTGTTTTTTGTTAGAACGGCTTAATCTTAAACACTGTCTGTAGGTTAATCGATGAGGTGGTACATTTATTTTACTCGATTATTTGGGATTTTCTCTCGATTTTACAAAATAAAAATATGGGTATAATTTCAATATTCAACAAATTTTTTTATTTGGGAGCCTAAAAGAAAAATCCAAAAGCTTATTGTCATTAACACTTTGTTTGGAAAATGTTTGAAGATAAGAAACATAGATATATTGAGGAAATATCGAATTTTCACTTATCATTGGACGTTTCTGTAACGAATCTGCTCCCGTTCTCAACATAAGAATGCAAATATTTTTGCATGTTCATGTTATGTTATGCAAATATTTTTGCATTTTCATGTTGATGCCAATATTTTTGCATTTTTATGTTGAGAACGGGAGCAGATTCGTTCCCGAAATGTTCAAAGATGAGTACAAATTCGATATTTCTTCTCTTCAAACATTTTTCCAAACAAAGTGTCACTGACAAACTATTGGATTTTTCTTTCAGGTTCTCTGATAGAAAAATTTGTTAAACGCAGTGACATTTTGAGGCAAATAATCTGATTTGTCCTACTACACATATATTGAAATAATACTCATACTTTTATAGATCACGCAAAATCAGGTGGAACACAGCAAACACAATGCGCATATATTTTTAATTTTTTAAAAAGGCAGATTTTAGAAAGGATTAAAACGTATTCACTTTTCTGGAAATCGTTAAGTACGTCTAAAATAGGAGAAAAAAAAACACCACACTCTCAGCGTCTAATTCATTTAATATCAAACGTATAAATATTTAATATATATTATATTGCTATCAACAACTATCAACTAAAAACAATCACAAACATTCCAGCTTAATCTTTTCGTACAGAATTTGAGTCTATTTGGGAAAAATAAATATGAAAACGTTGGCACTTCTTACCACGAGTGAGAAGTACTACCCAAACTAAAGTTCCTGGAGCCAAACATTGTTAATCAGAAGCAGAAGCAAAGGAAAAGAAATGCAGAATTTCGAAGAATTACGTCTACAAACTGATCAGGTTAATCCTCTGAACTCTACGAGTAAAACAGAGATCGACAAAACCTTGATAACGCTCGTGAAAAAAATGTACCCTATTTGGGATAGGACCTGTAACAATTACCCCAATAAGCAGCTCAAGAATCAGCTATGGGAGAACATTGCTACACAGCTCAACTTGGACAAAAATGCTTGTATGCTCAGATGGAAATCTTTGAGGGAGAAATATATAAGGCAGAAAGTGAAATACCATCAAGACGGTGAAAAATGGGAGTTACTGGACGAATTGAGTTTCTTAGGTGAGTTTTTTTTTTTTTTTTTTTTTTTTTTTTTTTATATATATATATAAGTATTTATTATCTGTTCTACAGATTCACTTATATAATAATTTACTATTAATAATGATAATAGTACACATCATGAATCATTTGTGAAATGCATTGGTCCCCAATCGGCTTGGATTAGCCGGTCTCGGGATCATATAATAAAGAAATAAAGAAAACGTGCGGTAACAATTCATAATATCTTATCACCTGATATGTAAATATGAATATCTAGAGATATTAATTAACAGTTTGTAAATATATATGTATATAGGTATATTAATTTAGCATTTTGTCCAAACACCATTTTTTGAGTGTGGTTTTATATGTACCCCAACTAACAATATTCTTTATAGTCTCAGGTACCTCGTTGTAGGCTTTTATAGCTCTATCTATAGGATTATTGAGTACTTTATTAGTTCTTGGCTTCTGTATATTTAGTTGATGTTTATTCCTTGTGTCATGACTGTCATGTGAGTGTATTTGATTTCTATAGCTTAGTTCAGAATTAGTTTTCAGTTGGCTGTGTACCAGTTTATATATATATTTACATTGTTCCAGCTTGATAATCATATCTAATTTATATAATTTAGTATCTAGGTATACAGTATCCGTCGACATACAATAGTCCAAGTTGAACAAGATCTTTACCACCCTATTTTGAAGTATTTGGATTTTATTAAAAGTTGTTGTTCCACAGGTACCCCAATTAGTTATCATATATCTAAATATGGCTAGGAAATAAGAGTTGTATATACAATATTTAGCTTTGTTATCTATATAGGATCTACATCTATTAATAGCTCCTATCATAGGAGTAATTTTTTGAGTAATCTTCTGAACATGTTCTCTCCAATCGAGCGACTCATCTATGGTAAGACCAAAGTACTTAGTAAATTTCACATGCTCTAATGTAGTTTCATTTAGTTTTACAATTATTTCATTCATATCCATGTTCTTTTGTTTGAAAATCATATAGACACATTTTGACTCATTGATCTTCAACTTATTGTGGAGTAGCCACTTGTTATACACTATGAGATCTTCATTTACTATTCTTTCTAATTTTTCTAATGACGTATCACTATAGGCCAGTACGGTGTCATCTGCAAACGTGTAGTACCTAGCTTTCAATGAAGCTTTTTGTAGGCTCATAACATGTAGTATGTATAGGAGCGGTCCAATTACTGATCCTTGTGGAACGCCCGTTTTTATATCTAACAATTTACTTTTTGTATCATCAATAAAAACGAATTGCTTTCTGTTGGTCAAGTATGATTTGATCAGATTATTCATATTGCCTCTTATACCCATTTGTTCCAGTTTGTATAGCAAATGTACATGGTCTACTACATCAAATGCTTTTCTAAGATCAATAAAGACTATAGTGATGTATTTTTTTTCATCAAGTTTTTTATTAACATAGCTTATGAAATCAGTTGCAGCACATTGAGTATTACTATTTTTGATGAAGCCATATTGATATGGATCAAGATTGCCATATTTCTGTAAAAAATTTACAATTCTAGTTTTTATTAATATTTCCACAATTTTTGCCAAGTTGCAGATAACACTTATTGGCCTGTAGTTATTCATCTGATTTGTGTATAGGAGTAACCTTACTGATCTTGAGTACATCTGGGAAGGTTCCCTGCCGCATTATGTCATTTGCTAATCTAGTAATAATTGGTATAATGTCTGTTTTGAGAAGTTTCAAGTCACTAACTGTAATATTGTCATACCCTGGTGCAGCATTTGCTTTGAGCATATTTATAATATTCTCTATTTCTTGAGCCGTTACTTCCTCAATATACAAGGTATTTAAACAATTAAACTCCTCAAAATCAATAAGGTCTCTCCTATTCTGTTTTTCACTGGTTATATTTTCAATAATTTCTGCTCCAATTTCACAGAAGTATCTGTTAAGTTCGTTTACAATTTGATATCTATCTGTAATAATCTGCTCATTGATGGATAGACATTCCACAATATGCTTCTTATTACCCTCACCTTTAATGAATCTATTCATGCAATGCCACTGTTTCTTACTATTTGAGCCTGCTTTACTCCATTCTTTGTTGAAGTATTCATGTTTAAGCACAAGACTTCTCTTTTTCACTCTGTTTTTCAACATTTTGAATCTAGAAATATTTTCATTACTTGGTTGTTTAATTTTCAACAGATAGTATTTGTCTCTTTCTTTTACTAGTTCAACAAAGTCAGGATTAATCCAGTAGTTTCCTGATTTACATTTAATACTCACTATACTAGTTGCCGTGGTCTTACAATATTGAACCATAGTGATCAGATCATCAAAATTGTTAATTTCTTCATTTTTACTCAAGTTCTTAAATTCATTACTAAGCTTATTTGTATCTACTTTTAATTTCTCTAATCTACAGTTGGGTTTATACTCAGGTACATTTTTTCCTATTTTTATATTAAGCACCTTGTGATAGATAGATAGATAGATAGATATATTTAGATAGATAGATAGATAGATATATTTATTCATGTTTTTACACTTACGTGTTTACATTCGTCAATGAGTTTATAAGACATCAAATACATATAATGGTCATACGGGCATGATATAGATATAAAAATAGACCTCAATTTATACAGAAATTATAAGCTAAGAATGTAAAGTACAATATAAATAAGTAAATAAGCACAATATAAAGACAATTTAAGCATAACTCATCAATTAAAAATGTAAGTTAAAATATAGACAACTAAACACACTAAAAATAGGAATATAAATTACAATCGCAACTAATATATTATTTGAAATTACATTCAAAACTTTATTCTGAGTAGTGAGAGAAGAACTCTTGGTCTGAATAAAAACAATTTTCAGTGAAAACATCCCTCAAAGTTCTTCTAAATTTATGCAGAGACATGCTATTGTCTTTGAGCTCCAGTGGTAAACAGTTGAAGTATTTGTAGGATCTATATAAATAAGATGACTGAGTGCGATGCAGTCTAAAACTTGGCAATCTCAGCAATGACCGAGATCTCGTGAGATGATCATGGGTATCTCCAAGTTCAGCAGTTGTTCCTGCTATTGTCAGCCTTTTGACATGACATAAGCACTCTAGTATGTAACAGCAGGGAAAAGTAATAACTCTGAATTGTTGAAACAGGGGTTTAGCATGAGCATCCCATTTGGCCTTACCCATAACACGTATCACTCTTTTTTGTAGTTTGAAAATGTGTGAAGCATTTGTTGTGCCTCCCCAAAAGAGTATACCATAAGTCATTGTGGCATGAAATGTGCCATAATACGCTACTCTCAAACAATCTGGAGTTGTTTTATATGATAATTGTCTTATTGCATAAATACTTGTCGACAATCGTTTGCTGAGTGAATCAATATGTGCATTAAAAGACAAATGAGTATCTAGAATTAAGCCTAGGTATTTGACTGGTTTGGTATCTGTACATTTCTTATTCACTGAGAAGTCGATTTTTTGAGTTTTTGAATGATTCAAAGTAAGATAATTACTTTGAGTCCATTCTTTCAAGAAATTTTCAGAATTAGTAATGCTAAGAGACATGTCATTGGTATATTTATTAGTGAGTAAGAACGTGGTATCGTCTGCATAGATAATGGGAAGAAGATCTGATGACTTTATGCTGGAAGGGAGGTCATTAATGTATATAATAAAAAGTAAAGGGCCCAAAACAGATCCCTGTGGCACACCATAGTTGATTTTCTTATTTTTGGAAATATTTTTGTTGAATTTTATAATTTGTTGGCGACCAGAAAGATATGAGCACAAAAGTTTCAGTGGTGTCCCACGGATGCCATAATATTCCAGCTTACTGAACAGGATATCATGGTGCACAGTGTCGAAGGCCTTAGACAAATCATAAAACATACCACAACAAAGTTCTATATGTTCAAAAGCTAACCAGATGGTTTCCAATAATTTATTCAATGCGGAAATCGTAGATTTACCCTGCCTGAAGCCAAACTGGTAGATACTGAGAAGTGAATTTTTTTCAAAATAATCGCATAGACGTTTTTTGAGAATGATTTCAAAGATTTTGGATAAAATTGGTATGATGGATATGGGTCTATAGTTCTCAGCTTCATTCTGATCACCGTTTTTGAACACGGGTGTTACAATAGAAAGCTTAAAAATATCAGGATAAATACCAGTGGTAATGCAAATGTTTATGAGATGAGTTATCGGGTCTATCAGGAATTCGCTTACTAGTTTCACTATGCCACTATTCAAATTATAAGCATCTTTAGCTTTTGAATTTTTCAATTGGGATACGATTTCATGAATTTCCTCTCTTGTTACGGGGGATAGAAAAAATGAGTGGCAAACCCTGGGTTCTTTATTCATAAATTCTTTGAATTCGTTTTTGTCAACCTTGCTAAAATTTTGCGTCAATTTTTGCGTTACATCATGAAAATAATTAGCTAAAATTTCACTATCTAAATCAATATCAATATTAATTTCGGCTTTTTTTTTCGGTCTGTTCTGGTTGATGATATCCCAGATAGCCTTTTGTTTATTTTTAGATTCGTAAATGAGTTGGTTGTTTGCCTTTAATTTTTCATCATTAATAGCTTTTCTATAGAGAGTTCTTAGAATCCTATAGGCCTTGTAATCCTCATCATCATTTGTAGAATTCGCCACAATCTGAGCAGCTTGAAGAGTTTTTTTCATTTGTATCAAGTTTTTATCAAAAATGAACGTCTTCGGTTTCAGACAGTCTGCCCGTATCCTTCTTTCTTTGAATGCATTCTTGAAAGAGTTTGAAAGTAAGGTGACTAGGAAATTCGCTAAATTATTTGGGCAGTCCATATTGTAAAAAGGAGTCCAATCAGTATTTTTCAAGTCTTCAATGAAATTTATTTTGCCACTTTCAGTTAGAGGTCTACATGTTATGAAATTATCTTTAGATTTTTCCTTAGTGGCTGTTGAAAATAGTATTCCTCTGTGATCAGACATATGAGCATCAATAACATCAACCGATATATCAGATATATTCGTGAAGAGGTTGTCTATTCTAGTAGCACTATTTTTTGTTGCTCTGGTTATTTCAAATACTTGTTCTGATAAGTTATATGAGGACAAAATATTTCTACACTCGTTTATATTATTACCAGATTTATTGAAGTCCAAGTTGAAGTCTCCTACCACTATTATATTTCTGTCCAATGGTAGCGTTTCCAGTAAATCAACAAGACAATCGAAATACTTTTTAGTATTGCCCAACGGGGACCTATAAGTCACTACTATAAGCAATTTGTCTTTCATTAGTTCAACTAAAATAAACTCAGCATCCACCTCAGCACAGACATTTTTTATCAAGTGAGTTCTTATAGCTACATTATTTTTGACGAAAAGACAGATACCTCCATGTAATCTGGTTTCCCTGCAATAGTGAGCAGCTAATTTATAACCTGGCAAGATTATATTATTCACTTGATGTTCATGCACCCAAGTCTCAACAAAACATATCAAATCAATCTCATAAGTGCTTAAGAAATATTCAATTTCATTAGTTTTTTTACTCACTCCTTGAATATTCAAATAAAATGACTTAAAACGACACTCGCGTTTATAATTTTTGTTTTTGTTTTGATCTCTTTTTCTCACAGTTTGGATAGCAACCTTCATATTGCTATCCTTAGGCTCGAAAAAACTGAATGTCATCTGAAATTCTGATCTGATAAACAGAAGTATTTGTGAACACTAACTTGGCATTTCATATTACTTTTACATATAACATGATCTATGATTGTACTTGAATTTGCAGTGACCCTTGTGGCCCCATAGCGGGAGATAGGTCATTTTTGAGGCAGAATCCAGACAGTTGCAGGGCCCCTAAATATTCCTTTGCTATTTGTTCTTCTGGCTCCATTACATTAATGTTTATGTCACCAGTAACTATGTTATCCCCCTTATTATTCACTAGCAGAAAGTTTGTTCGAAGGTTCTTAACAAAATCATAATATATTCGGTCTGGCCTCATTTTTTTTGTATGGAACATATAGCAGTCACAGCTGGATCTATTAAGACTTCAACTCGGAAACATTTCAAAAATTCTTTCTCAATTCGCAACTGGAGTATATATAAATAAAAAAGGAGATTTTTTTCTACAGTCCCGAATGTATTCGTATTTTTATTTAAAATTGCCTTAACACTGTTGATGGAAAATAAATACTGTTTCCATATTTTGACACTTCTTGAAAATCGACCACAGACAAAAAGAAATAGCTTAGTATACAAGGTGATCGCATAATGTATAAGTAAGTAGGTAGTTTTCATCCTCTTTTTTTTCAGGATTTTTTTCAATCTCCGATCTCCTTTTTTTCTTGTTTTTTTTTGACGAACCCTATACAAATCTTGTAACTTTGTAAAGGAAAATAAAGGTCATTATTATTATTATTTCTATTATTATAAAACATGGGAAAACACGTTTTTGGACAAAAAGTCACTAACAGAGATTGAAACCATGGCTCATTTGTTTCAAAATATTCATGAACGTCTTTTTCAAATGTTCATTCTGGACTCTGAACAAGTTCAAAACTGAAGAATTATTTTCAACAATTTTGTACATTTTTGAGAATTAGAGAAACATGAAACAGGGTCTAGTTATCGAAATCGATTTCGAAAACTGTGATAGATAGATAAGTTAACATTAATTAGGTTGTGTAAACTCAGCATGTGAAATAAATGAAGGTTTGTATTTAAAATGAGAAAGTTGGTGCTTCCTGACTTTTGGTACACCCTGTATAGCTAGAGGACCACAAATATTTCAAGTAGTTTGGAAATAAATACAAAAAGCACAAAGTCATATCCACACAATGTTCATAAAATGAACAACAATTGTAGATTTCGGGAGAAAAACAACTACTTTCCTGACTAATGCCAAGCAAAACATTGAATTACATCCTCCCGAAATCGTTGCATCGACTCGCATAAACGAATACTGATACAAGTTAATCTTTCCCGAATGCCTATTGATTTCGATTTAGCCAGGCCACGCTAGACAACTACAGACCGGGTTCGAGCTCTTTGACTCTCATCAGTGCAGGGCAGACTCCAGCCAGCAGTTCTCAGACCGCCGACTAAGTGTAGCCTAGCCAAGCAAAAATCAAGTAAAGTCGGAATTATATTTCCCCCAGAGGCGTCCTTCATCATCAAAATCATTTCAAAATTTCATTCAGGAGTGTATAATACAGGGTGGGACTACATTAAATATAGCGCAAACTTTTTTATATGCACGTCATTCGACAATTTAATCTCGGATTATGAAAATCCACACTGTTTTACAGAAAAGAGGTGCTCTTGTTTCGTATCGATCAGATGTATAATAAAAGAAATAAGGACACTGCATAGTGCCACACAATGAAGGACACCAAAATAAGAAAAAAAGTCCCATGAACACGGGTCCGCAAGGCCTTAGGTTGAAAGATAAAGATACGGTGTGTTGAGTTTTATTTTTTTTATTTATTTGCAAAAACAATGATAGATAATACAACAATTACATTGAAAAAAACCTGTATACCACATTTTATCCATTTCTTGCGTCTCTGGTTAAAGATATTCAAAAAACAAAAAAAATAAAATTAAACACCTCATATCTTTTAACCGAAGGCCTTGCGATCCGTGTTCATGGTAAATTTTTTTCTTATTTTAGTGTTCTCTAGTGTGTGGCACTATGCTATGTACTTATTTCTATGTCACCCCGTAATCCCCGTATATTGTTCTAAAATTGTTTATCTCTTGGATCGCACGAAAAATATTCGGGTGTACCTAGGGAGGATAGGGAGAGGATGTAGGTGTTGGATTTTTTTGAGCTGTATCTCAACTTGCGTACTGAAGATTTCGATTTTGCAGGAGAAATCATGAACAATGAATTGAATAGAATTAAGACATCTTACTATGAACACAACTTGAAACTTAATTCTGTAAAATCCAAGGTACTCTAGTTAGGTACAAAAAATAACATGAACTTCTCGAAGAATAGTGTCAATCTACAAATTGATAATACCCCATTACAAGTCTGCGATTCACCAAGAAATCTTGGACACTGACATGCGTTTTGCTCAGCACATAAGAAATATTATTGGCAAAGCTTTCGCATCCTTGAAACTTTCAGTAATCAACATGTTCTCAGTGTTAAAATGAGACGAACTTTGTGCGAGTCACTCGTGTTGAGCCACTTTAACTATTGCGACTTTCTTTACGGTCCTTGCATGACGAAAATTTATAGAGATAGAATACATAAAAAGTTCAAAATAGCTGCTGTAGACTAATCTATGGTATCAGAAAATATGATCATATTTCACATAAACTTAGGGAATGCGACTGGCTTAATATGAAGAATAGAAGACAGTTCCACTTAGGTACCTTCACTCATAAACTATTGAATGACTCCAATCCTCCAGCTCTGGCAAGCAAATTTATTCCCCGATTCAGAATACACTCTAAAAACATCAGACAGAGAACCATCCTCACAATGCCTCAACACAGAAATACATCTAGGGAAAAAGCCAATACTCAAAGTGGAATGCAATGGTCACAAAGAGAGAGAAACTCAAAGTCATTACCACATACTAGTTCATAAAATGAACGATAATGGTAGATAACGAGAGAAAAACAACTACTTTCCTGGCTATATGCCACGCAGAACATTGCATTACATCCTTCCGAAATCTATGCGATAGTTCGTATAAACGAATAAAATCACAAGTGTTTCCTTCCTAAACGCTGAGCTGCTCTCAAGTGGTTCAGGAACGCTGATTACCTGCAGACCGGTTTCGAGCAGTTGGCTCTCATCAGTACAGGGCTGTCCCAGATAGCTTCTTGACCGCTATCTGGTGCTTCAGTAGATGTATGTTTAAAATGTAACTGAAATGTGATTAATTTGTGCTCGATACTGATGTATGATGTTCAACCATTGTTCAACTATATTTGCCCATGATCTGACATGTGAAAGCGCGAAAGTGTAATAACACCAATGTAGGATTTGTAATTGAATATCAGTCATTTTATTCTGAGATTAGAAATACTCTTCCACATATTATGTTTGTATGAATGTATGAATAATAAGGGTGTTGTTTATATATTTCAGATCGAGTGATTCAATTTAGAAAGAAGCCTTCGGATCACGACCGCAACCCAAAAGACCCCTTTCTGGACAACCTTCAAACCAGCAACCACTTCCCAACGTACCCGAAACACTCAGACACTTCGCAATTTCCCCAAGAAACCGACAGCAGTTTTTCACAGGTATACAAAACCGACACCGCCTTTTTGGCACAATCAAATGAAAACCATCTAGTATTCAATAACTATCAATTAACTATTTTTCAACACCAAACCAAATTTTTTAACTCAAGCGATTAGCGAAAAAATGATGTTGGGCCAGCTTAACCTCAAGCTAGCACAACCGTTTCACAATTTTCCACCCAAATATGTCATCGACATGATTCAAAGGCTAACATTTTTAACTTTTCAATAACTTTCGAATGGTGTATCAATAATCTGAATATAAGCAATTTGATTTTTTTAAAAGGGACAAATATGCATTCAATACCTAAAATGCATGTAAATTTTTTCATGTTCTTATAATACTTCCTCTTTCGAATATTTTCCATCACAACTGTACTATTTTTGACAAATATACCATCAGAATTCACATTCCCCAAATTCCAACTGATTGTGCTGAAGATATTAAATAGTAGATCAACGAAGACACTTTCTAGTGACCATATTGCCATTTTCAGTCGTTATAAAAATTTTTCTTTCGAATATTCTACATCACAACTTTACTATTTTCGAAAAATGTATTATCTGAATCCACATTCTTTCAATTTCAGCTGATTGTGCTGAAGTTATTGAATATTAGATATACGAAAACACTTGTTAGTCATCATATTGCCATTTCCTGTCCTTATAATAATTTTTTTTTTCATATATTTCCCATCACAACTGTACTATCTTTGAAAAATATATCATCTGGATTCACATTCTTTCGATTTCAACTGATTCTGCTAGAGTTATTAAATAGTAGAACAATGAAAGCACTCATTAGTCATCACATTGCGATTTTCTGTCCTTATAATACATTTTCTTTTGAATATTTCCCATCACAACTGTACTATTTTTGGAAAATATATAATTTATTATCATACTATGTTGATTGTTGCTGAAAAAATACGATTGAGAATTGCATGAAAAAATTTACATGCATTTTAGGTATTGAATGCAAATTTGTCCCTTTTAAAAATATTCAAATTTGCTCAAATTCAAATTATCGATACACCATTCGGAAGTTATTAAAAAGTTGAAAATTTTAGCTTTTGAATCATGTCCATAACTCATTTGGGTGGAAAATTGTGAAACAGTTGTGCTAGCTTGAGGTTAAGCTGGCCCAACACCATTTTTTCGCAAACCTCTTGAGTTAAAAAAATCGGGTTGGTGTTAAAAATAGCTAATTAATAGTTATTAAAAACTAGTGATCGACCGATATGACTTTTTTAGCCGATACCGATAATCGACCGATACCGATAATGTCTTGGCCGATAACGGTATATATCGGCATATCGGACTTTTTTAATTGATAACATTCATTATTAATTATTATTGTCTAAAATCTCTAAAATCTGAATATTCTGTAATATAATTTATAATTCTTTAACGTTCAATTTAAAATCATAAAAATAAAAACAAAAATTGCACTTTGAATGAACCGTAAATTCGGCGAAAAGGAATCGGCTGAATCCAGAAACAACCGAGACACTAATTTTTTTACATGATAATTTGCCAAAACTACAGTATTCATATTAAATATTACTTTAAATTTAAATATAAAAGAAATGTTTTAAGCTGCTATGGTTGTTTTTATTGTAATGATATTCCCCTTGGAGGGGCTTTAGAAACATCAGCAGGAAGGCAGGAGTACAACGATCATCCTGTATCACGCATCCCAGATTGCTCTCCAACCTCTCAATGATTCCTACATACACCAGCATATTTCCGAACACTCAATATATGCCGCAGTGACAAAGAACGTCACAGAAGATTCTGGAATGTTCTGGAAACAATCGATGGAACAATTAGAGAGAGAGGTTTTGTTCTAAGCATATACGTATTAATAATGTTCTAAGAAGCTTCTAGAACAAAAAGAAGGTGACGGAAGATCATTCGAGAACGTTCTCGAGCCAAAGCCTGCCTGTGTTCTCATATATAAGACGGCCGAACAACTTAGTCAGTCAGTTAAGCAGCGAGTGTCAGCCGCGTGATATAAATCGTTTTACATAAATAATAGTTATAAATTCGATATAAATTAGTGTTTCTTCAGCTAAAATAAATCAGTTCGGAAATAAATAGTGTCGTGTTCGATTCTGCACCCGAATAACGTAACATTATTTATACATCGGCCGATATATACTCACATCTATCGGCCGATATATCGGCATTGGTATCGGTCGATCACTATTAAAAACTAGATGATTTTCATTTGATTGTGCCGAGACGGCTGTGTCAGTTTTATATACCTGTTTTTCACCAAGGCTGTTTTTCGCAGCTCCATTACAGCTACGAAACGGCAGACGACAGTTCCATGAACGATTCCTCAAATGACTACATGGTACAAGTGAAAAGCGAAAATACCACGATTGAAGTGCCAGACAGCTCTTTCAGTTCGAAATCCAGCCCAAGGAAACGCGGTAGCAGTGCAAACAGCGAAGTCTTTTCGGAGAAAAAATCCAAGACCGAGGTGCCAGGAAGGAGTGCTAGCCCTAAGAGCCCCGAAGAACTGTTTGGGGAATTAGTGGGGGCCATGTTGAGCAGGAAACCCGAGTGTGATAGGAACAGATATATGATAGAGATCATGACAGTATTATCAAAATAAGTTGGTTTTACAAACTTGAAATTCCGTATGGATATTCAGAGTGTGATTTATTGTAGGTACCTACGTTTTTATTTTAAAGAGATGAGACTAATACTATTTGATGTATTTTTTGTTAACTTACCTAATAAAACTTAACAGGGTCCATTATACAGGGTGATCCACGGTGGATGGCCTATTAGAAGTAACTATAGAACGAAAAGACAGAAAATTCCGAAATTTGGGATGCTTTGATAATTGAACATTCTCTATCCGTCTAGAATATTTTCATCGATACAGTGTTGCCACTTCTATCAGAAACAACTAGCAACTTTGTTATTTCAAATGGAACACCCTGTATTTTATTGCATTTTTAGATTCTTCCTGAAGAGCTGATTTCATCAATACATCACAATTGGGGTCTAGCAGGAATGAAATCGAGATTTTTCAATTTCAGGATTTTTTTGTGTCGAAACTATTCATTATCGATCAAAATGGCTCACATTTGTCAATTTGTGTTGACATGCATCATCAGATACTATTGGCACGAATTCAATACTATACCTGAAACGTGGATGCCGTGCAATATGTATGCAATGCAAAAAATAGTCCGTGTGGTGAGAATATTGGAAAAAGAAGTGGAAAATAATGATAGCGATTATTTATTTCTCTCCATATTCCACTGTGTTTGGCTCGGTAATCAAATGAAGATAAACAATATCGTTGTGTGAGACAAAGAAGTATTGCTAGTCGTGATTATTAAAAAACAAGTTATCCAATAAATCAGATCCCGAGAATGAATAAAATACAGATCAAGCAAGTATGTGAATCTTGCAGGCTCTCCTGATCAAAACAAAAATACTCAATTATAATATCGGTATGAAATCTGCCGGAATCTGGAACAAATCAGGTATGCGTCCCGACACAAATAACCATGCAACCATAACAATGTTTATTCTTGATGACCTAGTTCATCATTTTTAATTCCTAGGAGCGAAAGTTCAACTTGAGCTCCTAGGAACTAGAAGTGTTGCCTAGCAACATACCTATGTTTGTGTCAGTAATAGAAATCAATTCAAGAGCTAATTTTGATATTAAAATGATCGACTTTTATGTCGAATGCAGAAATAGTAGATTGTTTTATTAGGATTAAGTGACACTTTGTTTGACAAGCGAATTTTGCATTTGCGAGGCGGGGCGTCTAGCGAAGCCGAGCGAAAGCAAAATTTGTTGTTTATTCTCGATGACCTAGTACCTAGTACATCCTTTTTAGTTCCTAGGAGCGAAAGTTCTAGGAGCTCTAAAGTTCAACTTTACCTCCTAGGAACTAAAAGTCTTGCCTAGCAAAATAGCAATGGTTGTGTCAGTAATATATTACGTTAATTCAAGAGCTAATTTTGGTATTAAAATGGACGACTTTTGTGTCGGTTGCAGAAAAAAAATCATACTATCGGCGGACAAATTCTCGACAAAAATAATCCGATTTGAAATACTTTAGGACACGAATATATTTTCAAGGGATATGTCTGTACTATGCCTTTAAACGAAATTGTATACAGTACAGCTAACTTACCATTCAACACCACTGGTTCTTCAGGCAAATTCAGTTCTGCATCTGTAAAAATGTTCTCGGCAATGAAAGTATTTGAATTGACATTATTTCCTTGGACTACAGCGACTTGACCAGGAAACAAAGAATATTTTGTCATTTTCTGAATATTCAATGTGGAGGCGTGATTCAAGTTTGTCTCGTAAGTACCTTCGAGCAGTATTGATTGAACATTTATTTTACCGTCCGAGTCAGACACTATCCTCCCATAAGTAGTCATCTCACCCTGAAAACATTACCATCAACTATACAGATAGTCTTAGCTATGTAAAGTGCATTCTCAAATAAGCTCCTCTATTAATCCTAGTAATATTCACACCCTATAGTATGTATATACTAAGAACGGCTGTCATATCTATCATTCTTTCAACTTTGATAGTTGATATCTCAAACTTGTATCATTATTCGTTGCTGAGATATGGCCGACGACCGTCCTTAGTTCTTCTTCCGGTACATATCGTCACTGGAAAGTAAAAGGTCGAAAAATGAGTCATACCCATGACTAAAAAGCCCGTTTCTTTCTGCATAGTTTCATAGCATTCTGATCATTTAGCTGGCGCTTTAGTCACCCTAAAATGGGTACCTATAATTTAAAGTAGCTGCTCAAACGACAGGGAAATTCACATTTTCCTACTATAGTGAAATGTCACCTCCAATATTAAATATCTCAGTTTTCATTATTTTCTACTATTTTGTTAGTTAATCCATCTGATATGTCATACATAACTATATGGTTTGCCTGTTAGTCAATTCGCATAATTTAATATTTAGAAGGATTGTAAAAACTTCACAAACGATAAGATTTCCACAAAATTCTCAAACACCCGACATGTTTCGCTAACACAGTAGCTTCGTCAGGTGTACTGGTACAATGAACTAAACTATCGTTGGCTTGCTTAACTTTTATATATCTTACTTCCCAACCTGAAGGATTAGTTAACTGTGGACAGGTACGATAAACCTCCATTTTCGGAAATTAGGCATAATATGTACATTAAATTACGGTATACCGGATTAACTTGAAATAGTTGATAGCAAATACATATTATTACTTACTAAGAAAACAAATTCAACAGTGGTGAACTATTGAGGTCTAATTGATCATCAAGTAAAATGTCAAAATTTTTGAGTTTGTTGATTTCTAATGATTCAAAATGATTGAGTTTCAGTCCTTTATTTTCTACGTGCAGAATTTCGAAATTATCATAAAAACTATGGTTTTCTTCTAATATATGGTTGGCGTATGTTGAATTTGTTTTCTTTTTCATAAAATTCCTATGTTCATGAATGCGCTGATTAAACGTACGACCTGTCTGACCGATATATACCTTAGGACAAGATCCACATTCGAGTTTGTATACCCCTGATTTTTCGAATTTAGAAGTTTTGTCTTTATTATTCTTGATAAACCGTCCCAACGTGTTATTTGTTCTATATGCCACTTTAAAGTCCTGTTTGTGTATAAATGAAGCTAATTTCTCAGTTGATGATCCGAAATCGGTTTAAGTTCTATAATTTTGATTATTATTCTTGATGGTAGGATAAACTTCTTGAATAGCTTTATGATGATGTTTTTTAGAAAAAATACTGTCTATCAAATTAACGTTGTATCCGTTGTTGACTGCAATCTGTTTTATGAGCAAACACTGTTACCTTTCCAGTGACGATATAACTTTCAGAGTCAAGAGTCAATGATGGTACACATTTGTCTTTCAACTTACCAAATGGGTTTTCAAAAGACCTTCTGACAAAACTAGCCCATGGTTCTTCAATATATCGTGTCCTAATGTATGTGTCATGTTATTCAGACTTTTAGCTTTTTTTCCCATGATTTCGTACATATATCTAACATCGGCGGTCAAATAGTCATCATTATAATTCTTAACAGATATAGATAAATCAGATTCTCTTTTGAATTTAGCGGTTGTTGACCCGTAAAAACATTGTACTGATCTAGAGTCTGAACGCTGAGTATACTTTTCTGATGTTGAACTAAAACACAAAGAGGTCCATTGCTTCTCAATGTGGAGTGGATTTACATGGTCAGGTTAGCTTACATTTGAATTGTTTTCATATATTTTTAATTTGGTTGAATTACTCAACTATTTTTTGAATCCAATAGGCTTATCAAAGTACCTAACTACCAAAAAAAATATATGGTAGAGATCCATATTTTCTCAAAGTGAAGTGAATAAGTTTAAGAAACAAGACACTTTCTAAGTCATTTCCACAAATTTATTATTGCAGCTCAGGAACATCTGAACATGTTTAGGACTATCAATTGTCCATCAAGAAATTTCTACAAAGAAAATAGTTATTCATTATACAAGGGTAAAAAGTAGTAGATTTTAGCACCAGGTTGTGTTGTCTCCCGACGCGTAGCGGAGGGAAACAAAAAACCGTGAGCTAAAATCTAATATTTTTCCCGTGTATAATATACTATTTTTTTCTGTCATAGAAGGAAGGGCGAATCAATAATGAGAGGATATTGAATTATTTAGAAATCTTAAAATTATCGACGTGAAATTTTAAGTTTTCAAGATCTTTCTTCTGTCAGTCTAATTCTGTGATTTGATTTCAAAAAATTGCGAATTTAGTGGTTGTTTAATAATATACCAAACCGCGAAGTCGAATGGAATTTGAAAGGACTTGCAGTTCTTTCTCGGAGACGGTATTATTGACTCATTTTTCGGAACTATAGCACAACAAAAGCCATCAACAGTGTATATATATGTTAAATATATCCGGGAGAAAAGTAATTTATGAAAAGTGACATTTTATAACCTGCCAACAGAGATGAAATGCCAAACTTTTTTCCCGTCACAGAAAAAATACTATTATAATTTGTTAATTAAAAAACTAATGGAGTTGATTCGATTAGTTTTTATATCTTTCGTCGGTTTTTTAGGCTTATAAAACACATTTTTCTTTGTAGAAATTTCTTTAATAATACTGCTGATGTTGGACTATTGATAGTCTGAAACATGTTCGGATGGTCCTGATGTGTACTAATAAATGTATACAGATGACTTAGAGTGTGTCTTGTTGGTGCAAAAAAACACTTGTTAGATTCGCATGGTGGAGATAATTCGTGTCCTCATTCAACAATTTATTTTCTTATTTATACTTGAAAAAAGGTTGTCCTTTTATTTTTATTTTTTTCGATTTGGCGTCTTCTATGAAAAAAGTCTGGATTTGACCTATATTATTTATGTATGTACTTACATGTACAAGGTCTTCACGTATATTTTGAACCCCCACTCAGAGATATAGGGTGTGAAAAATTGAGATTTTTTTCAACTTTAGGATTTTTTTGTGTCGAAACTATATTCATTATCGACCAAAACGGTTTTCATGTCCCTATCTCAACTTTTGATGCATTATCTACTGACATTTAATTGATACGAATACAGGGTGGTGAAAAATCTAGAATTCTGATGACCCTGTATTTGTTTCAATTAAATGTCACTAGATAGTGGATCAAAAGTTAAGATAGGGACTTGATATTGAAAAAATTATAAATGTTGCCATAAGCATGTTTTGAGATGTTCAACTGTTTTTCTGTTGGCATATATAAAATCTACAGGCAAAAATATAAAAAAGGTTCCTTAAAAAAAAAAATTTAACGATACATAAAATTAAGTGGGGGTTCAAAAAATACGTGAAGACCCTGTACCTACTCAAAGGGATATAAAAAAATACTAGGTATACATTATTTTTGAGGAATATTATAGGGGCAAACAACTCTCATAAAAGTGTACACCATATTTAAAGTATATGATATTTGTAAGTAATGAAAATATTTTAAAAATATTTCGAAGTAATTAATGTAATTAAGAAGTACTGAAGAGTAAATAAAAAGAATTTAGAATTAATCAGAATACTTACGATTCTAGATACTTTGAAAGGAATTGAAAAGAATCTAATGATATTATAAAGGTATTTGAAGTAATGAAGGAAACTCAGAGCTCAACATAAAATATTATATCTTGATTCTTCTTTCAAATCATTATTTTATATAAACCGGAGCTATTGAAGGTTCCAAAAATTGCAGTTAATTTGATCAATCCACTATTTTTTCTAGGCTGAAAAAAAAATTAAGCCAATCCCGTTAATTCGGGATGAGGTATTTTTTTGCATAGAGTTAGTTTTCCTGCAAAAAAATTCCTAATATGATTTCATAAAAACCGACCCCTTAATATTTCAATAAAAAAGCACAGCACTGCCCGGAAGGCTGTTCGTCTCTGAAAAAACTGATCATATTGATGGTTATTCATATCGGTTCAAATCTGGTACGAATCACACGACTATAATCACTGAGATATGGAGGGGAGCGCGAGGGGGGGGGGGGCGTTTATAGAGGTACGTTGTATAAAATAAATTTTATTTTTGTATATCAGTATTTCATTTTCCTTGGTGTATTTGTATTCGTGAGTTGATTTAGATAAAAATTCATCAGCGAAGAAACATCTGTAGTAACAAAATTATTATGAAACGGAATTTTTTGAAAATTGAATTTTTTGAATTCTCAAGAAATTGTTCCCTTTCTCTATGAAAGACAGGGCGCTGGAATTATTATTCTGAAAGTATTTAAAATATTTGAAAAATAATGAAAGTATAGTTAGAATGTATTTCAAATATTCAAAAAGTAATTAGAATACTGAAAAGGTAATGAAAATAATTGATAAATAATCGGAGATATTGAAGATACTGAAATGATGATTTTCAAATAATTTAAAGAGTTGTTTGCCCCTCGGGAATATTGATATTAAATTATTATCTTCCATAACTTACATTGATGGAGTACTATTGCTACTGTAACTTTCAGAAAGATCTTTAGCAATAGGAGTTTTAGGAACTCTCCTCTCGCGGGTAGGAGTTTGAATTTGGTTGCTCTGAAACAAAGGAAATATAGACTTAAGAAGATGAATGTTTGTAATTATAAATCAGTTATATATTTCATTCAAGAACATCACAGATTGAACAAGACCCTGAATGGACAAAACGTCGAAAATTGGATAAAACGCTGAATACTTATTGGATAAAATGCATCTCTTTGGACTTGAAGCAGACATCTTCTTACTAGTCCACCCCTCTTTTCAACTTATGAGTGGTTCTTTTGAAATTCAGAGACCTAAATAAGATAAATTTATCATTTGATATCTTGTTTATCGACATGCGATTTCTGATTCTCGACTGGACCTCGCAGACTTGTTTGAAATTTTGTAATCCAAGAGACACGGATTTTTTTATTGTTTTTATTTTTCGACATCAGGTGAGAAATAGCGGAGGAATTTTTGAATTTAGGAGAGAGATTTTTTGTTAATTCACAAGTGTAAAACTTTAATAGGTAATCTGATTCATATGTTGTTTTTAGATAGCTGTCAATGAGGAATGTTATTTCATCACATCATCACATTTGCACCAGTTTCTAGTAGGGATCGACCGATATAGAAATTTTAGCCGATACCGATAATCGGCCGTTACCGATATTTCAAATACCGATAAACCGATATAGATAGATAGATAGATATCATTTATTTTGCCAAAGATTACAGTTTTGTAATATAGCAATAGTCAAATATATAAATATACACAAAAAGATGTATACATACATATATAAACGAATACTAACACATATATAGCTTTAAAAAAATATATCACAAACTAAGTATATAAACACTGGGTAATATTAAAGACGAATAGACAAATTATTCAAAGTACTCTGACAGATGGTAGAAGCACTTATCTATTAAAAATTCCTTGAGAGTTTTCCTGAACTTGGTAAAGCTGACAATATTTTTAATCGTGTCAGGTAACTTATTAAAAATACGCAACCCCATGTATTCGGGTGAGTTATAGCTTATACCCATTTTTGCAAATGGCACACTGAAATTATTTTTATTCCTGGTATTCATTGAATGCATATCTTTATTCAGTTTGAAGCTATTTCTATTTTTAAAAATGTATATAGACATTTCCAAAATATATAAAGAAGTAAGCGTTAATACCCTAAACTCTGTAAAAATGTTTCTACAAGAATGAGTATATTTCACTCCAGCAATACATCGGATAATGCGCTTTTGTGAAATAAACACATCTGCTGCTAGAGTGGAGTTACCCCAAAGACAAATACCAAATCTAATGCGGGAGTCTACTTGTGCATAATACAAATTCATCATTTGTCCTCTATTTAGAACACATTTAACATTTTTGAAAAGGTAATGGATTGAATTAAGTTTTGATATCGGTCTATCGGCCGTTAACAAGTTTTCTCTGAAGCTGGTAATATTTATGATGCAAAACGTAGCAGGCTAACTCCTGATAGGGCTGAAAGCTTATTGTTTTTGCATCACAACCTACCAAAACTAAATTATCAGTATTAATCAGTTATTTTTGTATTTTAGTAGGGTGAAATAATTTTACCTTACAGTTGCAATCCGCATAGGGTTTTATATTATTAATTTTTAATTACTAGTCAAAGAATTTAGTTGATTTTACGTTACATACTTTTTATTGGTAATAAAGATATATTTTTGATGGAAGTGTATTTTTTCATTCATTCTTCAAATTGATTTTTTTTCCAATGAAAAAATATATCGGTCTATCGGTTTTTGATATCGGCCGATACGATAATCGGCCAATGAGGCCGATATCACCGATAGGCCGATATAAATATCGATATGGGTCGATCCCTAGTTTCTAGTCTTTTTCAAACCATCGATTTTTTTTCCATTTGTCGAAATCGGATTAGAAATGGCGGAATTGTGGAATTGAGACGTGAAAAAATATGACATTACAACTCTGAGAAATATAAATGTGTTCGAAAAATCATAATATTGTGAAATGGTATAATTTGGATTTTTACATGAACTAAAAAAAAGTTGTTCATGACGGTCACAGCCACCTCAACCTCAACACCAACAAACTGTATGTGTGAAACAATCTCTTGAATTGAGAAAATCAAAAAAATCTTACGCAAGCAACAAATGCAAAATTTTAAATATTTAAATCTGAGTTACATCATTTTTCCTTGAACCGAGAATCATAGATACAAAGGGGTGGACCAGTGAACTATTTAGGCATCATGATCACTTTCGACGATATGTCCAAAAAATGGTTTCATCATGTGGCTAGTTTCAGCATTGTCCCGCAGATATATTTTGGCGTTTACCGGTGTTCTGACCAAGGACCAAGAATTCGACGTTTCGAACATTCGGCAATTTGTCCGGATCCCATACTCAACAGAACACTTGTGCTGATGGTTAAACCGGAAGTTTAATAAATGAAAACGATCAAATGATAACATAGAATGATCGGCTATAATTCGCATTATTTAATGAAACGGCAAGTATTATCAATTAACCATTAATCGACGCTATGTTCAATTTATTTACTACAAGTAATTGGTACTCAATGAATTTCTTCATGCAACAAAGGAAGTAGTTAACCAAACTCATCAGGGTGAGTTTGATGAACAAAATTGAATAACTTCACAAATCAAGAACTGAATACTAAAAACGTATGATGAATAGTGATATAACTAGAAAATAGCATTTTTGTTTTGTCAACAAACAGGTTTTAGATACCTGATTCATTGCATTGAATCAAATTCATGTAATAAATGGCGGATCCATAATGATGTTAGTTAGATTTGATTCAGTCACAGATTAACGAACCTTCAGTGTGATATAGGATCACTAAAAAGTCCAACAAGAGGAGAATCTGTGTCCAATTCAAAAAAGCGATTTTTTTAAATTTTAATTTGGATTAAGAATTGCAAAACTGCCGAATACAAATGTTATTAAAAGCTGCAATAGTCTCAAATTTTAGGTTTTAACAGTAAAAAATGAAGATTATTCTGTTTTTTTCTCAATCCTGGATCTAAAAAAACATCATTAAAAAAAGTCATGTGAAACCAATGAGAAAAAAATATTTTGGATCCAAAATGAAATTTTTGCCTTATGGAAGATTCAGGGAAAAATTCATTCTGTATTAAAATTTGAGTTCATGATGAAATAAAAACCATATAAAAAATGAGCTATCTACTAATTTCATGAATAAAACTAAATTGTATTACTTGACTGTATTAGTTTCATTTTATTATTCAAGTTAGAGGAGACCCTGGAAAAAATCGTTACAAAACTGCATATTCAGCTAAGATAAAAATATACATATAAAGTGGATGAAATAATCTTTGTGAAATATGACACTCCATCCAGATAAGTACCTATTTGTTTACCTTCATGCCAAACCAAATCATTCTTGGGTAGATAAAAAATGAGTGGTCATAATAACTTGGGATAAAAACCTTACTAAGCAGAACAAGAAGTAGGGTAGGTGTATATCGGGATCTCAGAATCTATAGGAGATACAATGGATAAATTATTGTGAATTAGGAAGTTGCACATTTGTGCGACTAAAAATATGCCATGGAAAAAATGTTGAATTCCGAATATTCCCAAAGAGATACGAAAAAACGTTATTTGTTGAAGAGTACCAAAAAAGATTACAAATTTACATTGCCACTTTTTCCCTGCTATACTATCTGGCGCCACCAGCATCAACTTTACTTTTTCTCGCAAAATTGGTTAATAATAATAGCATGGTGAATCTGAAAATATCATAGCAGGGAAAAAGTGGCATTGTGAATGTTCTCAATTTTGATGTTGTCCAACAGATAACGCCAGAAAAAAATAGAAATGATTTACCAAAATTTCTGTTTTTTTCGTCCGGAATTCAGACATTTTCTCGGCGGCATATTTTTAGTCTTCGTATCCCCTATAGTTTTCGAGATCCGAGAATTTCGGCCCTCGAATTTGAATTACTCTGTTTAAACAACTAAATAAGGAATCTCTATATGCAGGACTAATATAGTACAAACATATCATTATTATCATCTTGGAGAAAATTTTTTTTTTTATTCAATTTAGACTAGTGGTGCTATTTTTTTTAGGTATGTGATCCAAAACATGGTGGGTGATCTAGGTATTTAGCAATGATCTGACATCCTACAGGCAAGTTTACATTTTTGAGATCAGAGTTTGAAGTTCAATTGTTTTTCATTTAGATTATATGAAGCATTTCAATTCCATATTAAGATTGCCAATAATTATTAAGTATTTTAGAAACTTTTGGGACAAAGGAATCTTCAATAGTATATAGGTATCTGAAATTTCTATTCCAATCCATCATTTCATTTAATGAAAACTAATCAATTAGCTGTTTTGTGACCAAACATAATCAGAGAATACATACTCCAACCCCAGTTTGATTTGATGAACATCTATCAATATATTTTCTGGTGGCGCCACTGGTTGTAGAAGCCCCTATAGACGAGTATGGATCTAGTCACGATTCAAAAATCCGTGCACTAGTACCACACGCGCCAACACAGGGATCTGAAAGTTCTTCAGCTGCGGGTAGAAATAATAATTGTTTCGAATTTCGATCGATGAGGCATGAAATGTTCTTAATGAGTGTGGATCTAGTCACGTATTAAATAAAAAACCGTGGACCAGACCCCCACCCACTAAAAGCATTTCACAATTTTACTCTCAACTCCAGTCTTGAGAATAAAAAAAAAACAAAAAACACAAATCACTGACGCTACATTTGAAATATGCCGAATGCTGAACAAGCAAAAAAACAATGAACAGTTCTCGAGCAATCGCGAATTGAAAAACTAAGACTCCAATAACGAGTAATAGTCCAAATGATAAGTGAATTGCTGGGGTAACAACATAGGTTAACGAAATTTAACCTTGTAAATAATTTCGTCTACAAACAAAATCTCAGTTAAAGGTTGTTTACACTACTTTGTTCCCTCACAATCGCGAAACAAGGGAGCTGCTATATAGATAAGCCAAGTCGCACTCCAGAAATAACCGTCCGCGAAATGAAGCAACAGGTTGGAAAAAATGCCGGTAACTATTTTCGCATCAAATCTAGCAAACTTTGGAAATAAACCTCAAACACCGCACTAAACAAAAGCCAAGCGTCTTCAACAGATTTAACAATGGCCGCTGAAGGATAAAATAGCCTTGAAAAGTTTCTCAGAAACTTTTGAGTCTGGTGCGCAAGTGCGAAGATTGGAAAAACGTCTCATAATGCTGTCTCTCTCGTTTAACGCGTCGAAGCGAGATGCAATTAACGGCCGTCCGTGATTTATTATTGATCATTCATGCGCGACGAGAAAGGCAGAAAAAATGGTGGTAAAACTTTGTAAATCATAAGCATTGCAATATAAGGCATATTATGCATAAGCCAACGTTCCCAACGTTCGTTTTTGCCCGTCGGCGATAATACTCGAGTCTCGATCTTTTTTTTTGTTGTACTCACCTTCGGAGTTGTAGAATAAGAACTGACCAAGGCACTAGCATCTCTAAATACATATCATTAAGGAATAGTCATCATAAAAATATGATAAAAAAATTGTTTCACGTTTTAGAAGGATACGAGTCGTCTGAAACAATGTAGGAACTTTGTTTCGGTGTGGAAAGAGTCTGTCTTGAAAAACTTTGTTCCCTGTTATTCTGAAATTCTTTCCTCTCCATTTTTTGTAAATGATCAACGGTGGGGAGGGCCCCGTTTAGGTTCGAGGCAGTATAAGCGTACCATTGATCACAAAAATCCTCAGCCCCAATATTGTAAGCAATGCACATCTCCAGGCCTAGATAAAGAAATACAAATATAACCTTAAACATCCAGATAGTAATCTAAATTGTACTCACATTTATTGAGAACGTCGTTTGAAGCTGAGATGTTGAGTTCTTGGAAATAAGATGCTATTTCTTCTTTAGACACATTCATGATGAACAAAATTCTTTTAAAATATAAGAAACTATCTACAAAAACACATAACACAGCCACTTTCACTAAGAATAACAAGATCATAACTTTTTGGCGCGTAAAGCAAGTGGGTTCTAGTCGATTCTACCAACACAAGAAGCTAGTGACTATTTTTGGTTCTTTCGGAGATGAAATGATATATCTCTTTTTGTTTAGTGCATTCAAAGAACAGAAACGGAACATACTTATCACATGAATATCAACATCGACATCAACATATATTTTTTTGTTGGTGAACATAAGGCACGCCTGATCTCAAAGTTGCCAAACATCAAAATGTCAGTTTCTTACTTATTAACCTCACTTTCGATTTAAAATGGAAATATTTTCCAGTGATGATTTCTTGTATGAAATAAAATGATGTTTCATAAGTTTTCAGTAGTATATCGGTGTTCCCATATATTGAAGCGATATTGTACAACTGATGTCAGTAAATGATGTTTACTAAAATATAATATTTTGTTGTTCTCGTTTATATATTTCAGCTTATCAAATTCACCAGAGAAGACAGACTGAATATTTTGCGAAAAATGGCTCTGACAAAATCAAGAGAAAACCCTGTCATCATGACTCTGGATACTCCTGAATTCAAATCTATATTCAATGAGGAATTGCGATCTCTAGTATCACTTTTCAAAGAATATGGATATGAAATCAGAATTGCTGGAGGTGCAGTAAGGGATATCCTAATGGGAAAGCAGCCCAAAGACCTTGACTTTGCAACAACAGCTACTCCAACAGAAATGAAAGAAATGTTCACTACAGAAAATATTCGGCTGATAAACTTGAATGGTGAAAAACATGGTACAATTACTCCTAGGATTAATGACAAGGAGAATTTTGAAGTTACTACTCTTCGCATTGATGTAGTTACTGATGGAAGACATGCTGAAGTTCAATTCACAACAGATTGGATGCTAGATGCTCTCAGGAGAGATCTTACCATTAATTCAATGTTTCTAGGATTGGATGGATGTGTTTATGATTATTTTTTTGGCTATGATGATCTCAAAAAACATAGAGTTGCCTTTGTTGGGAATGCTGTCACTAGAATTCAGGAGGATTATTTGAGAATACTCAGATACTTCAGGTACCTAGTAGGTATATTTACACCTAAATGATCAAATTTATTTTTCAACATTCCTTAATAAATCTCACCCATCAGCAGAAAGTTTCTTAACTTGCTAATAAATCACTGTAAACTTGAGTATGGATAGTTGAACTGAAATAATCTCTCATTTATATATACATAGGTAATTCTAGATTTGAATCTTCTAATGATAACAATATTTAGGTTTTATGGAAGAATTGCTTTGGAGCCAAATAAACATGAAGAAGGTACATTGAAAGCAATTTGTGATAATGGAGCAGGTCTCTCCAATATTTCAGGAGAAAGAATTTGGATGGAACTGAAAAAAATACTGGAAGGGAATTTTGCTGGTGACTTGATGGTTACTATTGTAGAGAATGACTTAGCTCAATATATAGGTAGGTAATACAACAATATGTTTATACAAGTTATGAAGGTGTTATTTTCAGGTTTGCCAAATAATCCTAATAAGGCTGAACTCAAAAAAGTTTGGACACAAAGTGGACATTTGAACCTGAATGCAATAACCTTGCTTTCTTCTCTACTCAATAATACAGATGATGCTATTACCCTGAATGCAAGACTAAAACTATCAGCTTTTGATAGAGATTTAGCCCTGTTCATAGTGAATCATAGGGAACCAAAATTGCATTCTAAACCTTTGATGCCATATCAACAATTGATTTTGAAGTCCAAGTCAAAACCCTCTGATACTAAAAACATGTGCATTGAAGTGTTGAAATACATCAATTCCCCTTATTGGGAAGATCTGGTGAAATGGGAAATTCCCAAATTCCCTGTCAGTGGAAATGTGCTGAAGGAAAATGGAGTGGAAAGTGGGAGGTTTATGGGAGTGGTTATGAATGAACTGAAAATATTTTGGGCAAATAATGATTTCAATTTGAGTGTGGAAGAATTGGTTAAAGAAATTCCACGTATTTCAAATGAACTTGCAGAAAAAAAGAAAAAGAAATAAACATTTTGAAATCAGTTTCTTAATTATTCAACAGGACTTTCAATAACTAAACTCAGTAGGTCAGGTTGGGTTAGATTATGAGAATACTGAACAAAAATTAAGCACCTTTATGATTATTCATATATTAACAATAATAAGTACAATAGTAATTTTATAAGAAATATAGTATGTACACACTATTAAATTTTTTACAGTGTTAAAAAACACTAACAAGATAAGAAAATATTTAATTTTAAAATTATAGATAAAAATAAGTGACTTGTATTTAAAAAATAAATCAGTTTTATTTTGGGAAATTAATTTGACTATGGGAGTTCAAAATTGAGGAAATCTCTCATATACAGGGTGTCCCGTGACGATGCCCATAGCTTAAGGGCACATTCCTTGAACACTTTCAAGTTGAACGTGCCTTATACACTTTCACCCAAAACTCTATAGTGGAGGAGCATTGAGCAATATTAAATTCAACAGAGTATGTAGAATAAAGTAATGCAATAGTTTATCAATCAAGAATAGTTTCATTATATAGATTTAATTTTTTTTCTCAAAATGTTGAGCAATATCAAATTTAATGAGTATGTGGAATAAAGTAATGCAATGGTTTATCAATCAAGAATAGTTTCAGTTCATAAATTCAATCATTTTTTTTTTTTTCAAAATGTCTTGCTCTTCTAATAATTGAAGATGTTGCTCTCTGAAGGATATCTGTGTCGTCTCATATGAGTCATTATATTTGGTTTGTTGTTTATTTGAATACACTAGACTTTTTATGTGTCCTCAAAGATAATACTTTAGAAGCTTTAGGAGCAGTAATCTGGGTGGCTAAAAAAATGTAACTCTTCCTCCAATCAGTCCAATCCACCGGTGAGCAAAGTTGATATTTAATTGCTCATAACTCCTTAGCTATTGAGGTTCAGACACACAAGCTATAGGCATCCAGTCACGGGACACCCTGTATATGTACAGTGTGGTCATTTAAGTGTGCAACATATGGGAATCTTTTCAATGAATTGCACAACCTAAATTCAGATAGTGCCGAAAGTTGGTGCATGTTCGGTAATCATTTTAGGTGCACTTAGAATGGTTGCAAGTCAAACAGCATACAGGGTAGATCAAAAAATATATAAATTGCTCAAGAGTGAGAAGTACCCTCATTTCAGAAAATTCAGCAAAATTTTATTGAGAGAAGTACTTTACAATTGAAAACATGGCCACCTAAGACATTTTTTGGTTTTTCAATTATAATCGTTAATAATTTCCCAATTTGTAATATTTTAAATACAAAATGTTCACATTAAATGGAAGTTTTTGAATATGCATATTATAATTAATGATGTTTTACCTTGTTGAAAACATTGTTTGCGAAATTTTAAAGTTAAACTGAATATCCTTGCAACAAACATAAAGTTTGTGATTCCCTAAAAAAATTAAAATCGGAGTTAATTGCACAAATCAGCTTGAATTTGAACAAAAGTATGCTCAACTGATTTTCTTATGATTAACTTATGAAAGTATTTAGGGAGAATATTAAAAAAATTGCAAATTGGGAAATTATTCAGGAACAAAATTGAAAAACTAAAAAATGTCTTAGGAGGCCATGTTTTGGTATGTAGGCCTAACTTTCAGTTGTAAACAACTTTTCTCAATAACATTTTGCTGAATTTTCTGAAATAAGGGTACTTTACTCTTGAGCAATTTTTATATTTCTGACCTACCCTGTATGCTGTGTGACCTGCAACCATTCTGAGTGCACCTAAAATGGTTACCGAACATGCACCAACTTTCGGCCTTATCTGTATTTTGGTTGTGTAATTCATTAAAAAGATTCTCATATGTTGCACACTTAATGACCACACTGTATATGATTGACTCATAAGTCATATAGCATTGTTATAAAATATTTTTTATACAAACGTCAAAAAATGACAAGGTTCGCGCATTGATAACAAATTGCGAAGTGACACTTTTTTTCAGTTTCCTACGTTACCATGATACCTTGCACAAAACAATGCGCGAAGTAAAACAGTGCGCGAAGTACCTACTTCGCGCATTGTTATGTAAAATATATGAGATATTTATATTTCTACTTCATGGTCATCAATCGAGCAAACATCCACGAAATCATTTATTTCTGAATGTTCAACTATAACTTTGTTTTATCTCTTGGAGCGCTCGAAAGGAAATTCCTATTATGTTCGTGGAACATCGTGTGTACCTATAGGGAGGATAAGAGGAGGCTGTTTATGCCAGTTCAACACTATTTTTTATATCAAGCTGAGCATATTTTTACTTTAGAACTATATTTTTTGATGTTTGTAGAAAAAGTGTTGTTTGCAACTCGAGCGCGAAATACTTTGGTCATCTCGACTATTTTTTTAACTCGGCTACGCCTCGTTAAAAAACTCAGATCTCGATCACCAAAGTAGCATTTCGCGCTCTAGATACAAAAATAACTATTCTGAACCACTATTATGATTTTTTTTTGTTTTTCAAATGTAATTTTATCCAAAATGACCATGTAATAGAACTTAGAAACACACTTCACCAATACCTTTGGCTTTGTCTCAGACATTTTTTTTTTATTCTCTGTATTATTCATTCCTAAAAAAATATTTTTTGGGGTGATGAACATTATTATTTTGTTTCAAAACTTTCATATTGGACTAATAAGGATCCTTATTCTTAATGAAACTTCAAAGTACTACATAAGAGTTAAGCCACGTTAAGCTTGGTCAAACATTATTGACAACACTTCAAAAACCCACTAGTATTCACCTATCAAGATTTCTAAGCAGCTTTCAACGTGCCAGTTGGATGATAAGAGCTGCACACATTTCAAAAAACTCCATGGTGTGATGACCTGTCAGTTTTGAATTTGTTGATCCACTATGCTGGATTGGCGTCGGTATAGCATCAATGAGAATATGACCAATATTTGACTCATTGTCTTCATTGCTCAGACTCTTGAAGTCCAAGAGGTAACTCTTATAATCCACCTAGAAAAATTGATCATGTCAATTCAAATGCCCAAAGTTGTTTCAGAGCAGAACATACAGGTTAAACCAATATATTTTTTAAAACTACACTCAGTTCCAAAAAAAGTGATGCACTTGATATTTGACCTATCTTCTTAAAAAAAAAAGAAAATAGTAGGTCGATTATTATTTATTTTTTATTTGTTGGTAGGTAATGCATTGGTCTTTAAAAAAAATAAAGAGGTGAAAATTTGTTCAAAGCCTATTTGATGGTGGTGGAATAACTGGAACCATGATTTATTCTTAATTTTTGACTCACCCTGTGTGTTAATTGAGTAATGGCATAGAAAGTGCCTACACCCTATACTAAAGAGGCTTCTTTTGTGAGCATTTTGTTTTTTTATTCATTGATTCACCTCTAAAATTTTCCGAATTACAGCTTTTTTTGCTGAATCCTTGCAGATTACCAACTTTGCTCCCTGTTTGTTTGTACTTGCGGATTGCTCTACGAGCAGTTGCTTCATGAACTCCCACTGCACGAGCGGCATAACGTTTACTACGCCCATCACTTACTAACGCAACTAATCTTGCTACTTGTTCAGGATTTTTTTTGAGGCATTTTATCTAATTTAAGTCAATAAAACAAGACACTTAATTAATGACACAACGACAAATGGTCAAATATGGAGGCATACAACAAATTAGTTGCTATGGCAACGGAATTTGTTTTTTTAAAGACATGATCCTACCAGAGTACAACCCAATCAATTTTGAGTACTCTGATCTTTCAATAAATTTAATTTGTGGGATAAGCATAAGGTATCAGCAAAAAAGCTGTAATTCGGAAAATTTTAGAAATAAATCAATGATAAAAAAAACAAAATGCTGCAAAAGAAGCCTCTTTCATATAGGGTGTAAGAACTTCATATACCATTACTCAATTAACACACAGAGTGAGTCAAAAATTAAGAATAAATCATGGTTCTAGTTATCCTCCACCATCAAGGAGGCTTTGTGAGAAATGTTCACCTCTTTATTTTTTTTTGAAGATAAATGCATTACTTACTGACAAATAAAATAAAAATAAAAATCGGCCTACCATTTTTTTTTTTTTTCAAGAAGATAGGTCAAATATCAAGTGCATCACTTTTTTTGGAACTGAGTGTATAAATTACTCTTACTATAAATACTCACTTGATACAATTGAAGTGACATCATAATATATCGTTCATGCATTTCATTTCTGTGTCTGACCCTCACATGGTAAGGATTGATAACCTTCCATTCATAGTCCAAAGCTTTCATTGCACGGTATACCTCCATCATGATGTCATTGGGTTTACTCTGTGAACGTATACCTAAGTGCCACTTTGCTCTCTTGACTACAAAAGTATGGTAACAAAACTGAGTGAAATGATCAACATCACTTAGATAGATTGCCAATCATTGTTACAAGCAATTCTACTTTGCAAATATCAATAATCATCACAAAACTAGTTATTGAATCGTTTTTTTTTAATACTTCATTTTACAATCAACCTTTTTATTATTTATCATCTCAGAGGCAAAAAACAATGATTTTCAAAAAATACCCATATGATTTTGATTTGTTTATTACCTCTTCCTTTTTCGCCCATAGCTGCAGTAGTAGTAGGAGGCCAAGGCCTTTGAGGCACAATTCTCTCAGGATGAGGCTTCAAAGGACTGTTGGTAAATTCACTAGGAGGTGGCATCATGCTGACTGGTGGAGGGCTGCTAGCTACATAGAAATCTTTGAGTTCTGCTTTTGCTGCTTCATCAGCAATTCTTTTGTTATCAATTATCAAATGGTAAGCTATGGCTAGTTGATCATGGGGGTCACCACTCAAAAGAGCACTATGGACTTCAGATTCTTGAACACCAAATTTGTCACAAACCTATGAGACTAAATATATAATATTCTACTTTATATTTTTCATGTTGCTCACTTCTTTTACAGCATCAGTGTCTATAACTGAAGAATCTTGATCCACAGGAGAAGGAAATAGATATGCAGGACAATCTTTGATGAACCACTCATGTTTTTTTATATCCTCAATGCTAGCTCTCTTCATAGGGTCAATTTGTAACATTTGGCACAATAAGCTAATCACAGGCTTTTTCAGGTAATCTGGGATAGGGAATATTCCAGATTTTATTTTACGGAACAGAGTGGGTACATGTTCATCATCAAAAGGCAGAGTACCACAGAGAAGTGCATAAAGTATGACTCCACAAGACCAGATATCAACTTCAGGACCTGCATAAAGTTTTCCAGATATAACCTTAAAATCAATAATATAATTTTTCATATTTGAAAAGTATCATTCTACCTCTGGTGCAGCATAATTTGGGGATCCACAACTAGTTCTCAGGAATTCACCATCCATCATCATGTTTGATAAACCAAAGTCAGCTATTTTGACATGCATATTATGGTCAAGCAACAGATTCTCAGGTTTCAAATCCCTATGTACAATCATGTGTCTATGGCAATAGTCTACACCTGATATGATCTGTTGAAAAAATCTTCTTGCATCATGTTCTTCTAGTTTTCCATGTTTAACTATGTAGTCAAAAAGTTCCCCTCCAGACACATATTCCATAATCATGAAAATATCAGTTGGAGTACTTATGACTTGGTACAGCTTGATTATGTGAGGGTGTCTGAATAATTTTAGATTCTGAATTTCCCTTCTGATCTTTCCAACAACATCTAAGCTTTTGATTTTTTGCCTGTTGAGGATTTTTACAGCCACCTTGTGCTTAGTCAGCTGATGTTCACCAACTTTTACCTTTCCAAAAGTTCCAACACCCAAAGTTGCCCCCAAAATGTAATGGCCAATTTTAACCAGGGGTTGGGCCCCTGGTTTGTTTACTTCAGCCATTCTTCTGACTTCTAAAAGTCCTCTTGGTATAAATCAACTACACTCAATAATTTTGATCAATATTTTGATTATCTTTCAACTTTCACCTCCACCTCCACTTCACCTATCCATGGTGCACTTTAATAGTGGTGGAAAACTATCGATAGCACTATCGATAGTTTCGCACTATCAAAACACTCGATAGTTATTGAATACTATCGATAAACCATCGGTCCAAAAATGTGTACAGAAATCAAGTCATTTTGACCCCCACAGTTCGACGGCCACCGTCATCGAATAACAGTAAGTATAAAATCGCGTTTAAATATTGATACTTAATGCCTGCGACACCTGCGACTTATTCAACTTCTAGGGGTGAACTAGAAAAAACAATTTCAACAGGAATAGATTCAAATGAAAATTGTATTTCAGCGCCTCGTCCTCGAGATCACCTTGATTACACTTATAGTACCCTTATTCTGAGCTTGAGGACTTTAACGTTTAACGGCTTCAGCGGAGTTCACAACCAAACTTTTTACGTTTTGCTTTTTACGTTTCACATTCTGATTGGTGAAGCAGAATCCGGAATTGGCAAGACGCGAAAAGCTAGAAATTTTCAGCTTTTTGTGTTACAAGATGCCACTATGTGTGAAAATGGCACCGCATGTTGGAAAATGGTAAAAATAGACAAATACTAAATACTTAACCTATTCTCACACCACACCTCATTTTAGGATTGATTTTCCTCTTTATCGAGCAATTTACGCCTCCGCCAGTACTCATGAAAATTATTCGTTATTTAATCAATATTATTGTTGTGATTATTTAACTTCATATCAGGATAAAGCACAAGTGACAGAACCAAGGCTACTGAGAAAATCCGTTTCACCAATCAGAATACGAAACGTGAAAAGCAAAAGTAAAAAGTTTGGTTGAGAACCCCGTCTCTTACCCGTCTCAAAAAATAAAAAACTTCCCATCTCACATTCTCGATGACTTCCCCTCTCTAATAGTGTTGTGTGTGTAGCTGTCAATGTCAAAAACATGTCAAATTAATTAGTATAATGTCAACTTCAAAACTATTATAATTAAAAAAAAAATAATAAAATTGTGAAATTGTAAACAATACAATTTGTATTCGATATTGGTTCTTTGTCTTTCCAGAAAGATCATAATTCACAATGTTGTGTTTATTTTTCTTTTGATTACTTCTACATCTCATCGAAGTCAATTCGTTCCTCATGTATTCTTTTCTTTTTTATGTTATTTAATTAGTTGTGGTTAATACTGAGAAGACATCAGCTTGCTCTTATCCCGAGTTTTATACCTTTATTTCCTCAATACTAGATTTAAGAAAATATGTCGAGTCCTGAGCAAGAAAACATTATGAACAACAGCCATTCACAAAATCAAACCATACAATCGCCTCTTGATGTTTGTAAGTAGATACCAACAAATAATGTAAACATCTAAATTATTGTATATCAGTATTTCATTGTTCTGATTTGTTTGCTCTTTTGAAACTGATTTGTACAACTATCAAGATTTTGAATTCTGATTAGCAAAGTAGTGCTATGGTATACTTTATATTCTGTTGAATTTTCAGCCCATTCCTATAGTGTTAACACAATTTCATCACTTCGAGATTACATTATTTCTGAGGACCTGCTGGCTGGGCAGAGGTTAGAAGGCAGGATGTCAAGTGTTAGAAGGTTTTTTTGTTTATTTGTTACCTTTGACTTTCTGTTCACATGTTTGATGTGGATAATATGTGTTATGGTAAAGAATTAGAAATGTTTATTTTACCTAGGGGTTGATTGAGGTGTTTCATTTTCAGCTGAATGGAGAATACATTATAACAGCTTTACAAGAACAAGTGGTTCACTATAATATTCATACATCACTATTTGACATAGTGCTGATAGCTTCTTGTAGATTCATCATGTTGATATTTTTCTATGCTTTGCTTTACATGAATCACTGGTTTATAATATCAGTAAGTCCTGTAAAACAGGTTTTTATGTTTCTTTACATTGGTTATTTTTCAGCTGTCTACAGCTTCTACCTGTGGGTTCCTCATCACCAAAGTGTTCTTTTATGATGTAAGTAGGTATTTATCATGTATTTATCCAAAGAAATGATTATCAACAACTAAAAACATGGGTCTGCATAACTGCACATATACCTTAAGTACACCTTATGGAATATGGTTTACTATTATTTTTAGTGGCCCCACTCATCACAACCAGTTTTTGAGGTACTGTTAGTTCTGGCCTCATTTATTTTAGCCTGGGGGGAAGCATGGTTCCTTGATTTTAAAGTTATACCACAAGAAACACATGCCAACAGATATTTGATCAGTGAGTATTATTTGTGTTTCAAGTGCTTATTGGCAATTTTGAGTGAAATTAGCAAGATAGTATTATCTGGGAATATTTTTGGTTATTGATCTAATTAATAATAAATAAAAACTAGAACTAAATTAGTGGATATCTATCTATCTAAGTACCTTGTATAACTTTCCTACAAACTAAATGCAAATAAACAAGAAAAGACCCATAGGATGTGCTTGGGTATTTTTAGTTTCTACAAGTGTAGTTAAGGGTGTGTTAAGGGTAGTATATGTGTGCTTATATACTGTAGTATATAATAATAATTTGATTAACAATAAGAAAAAATTACAATACTTATATATCATTTGAGTAATAAAGATGAGTGATAGTGTCTAACATTATATTCTTAACTGTAACTGAAATAGAATAATGAAATACTGAAAGAATTCATTCTTAGTTTGAATCAATAATGACAATTAATCTCATTTGATATTAAGGAAATTAGGAATACAGTGTGGGCCTATTTTTGGTATATAATTTTTAGCAGTAAAGTTGTCTAATGTCTAATATATTTTTGTTTCATTGAATAACTCTTCAGATGGGTTAATGGGTTGATGATATAGTTTTATAATACTACTACTATGTAGACTACTTCAGACCATAAACTCCTATAATTCTACTGTTAACTTTGATAATGCCTATTTTAGGAATTATTATGTAATTGAATGTTCATTAATATTTTAATAAACAAAACAATATTAATAAACTTTTGTTTTCACCACCATCAAGGTATTCTAAAAAGATATGAGTTATTCACTGGAAAACATTTTATGTGTTACCATGTTTTCATCAAATATCTTGAAATGTTGAGTAAGCTCTCTTGTTTACCTAGGTATTCATAACCATATGGTCAGTGACTTTGAGGTTCAAGTTTCAACATAGTCTGGTAACATTTTTATTTTTTCTGTTTTTGCCTTTCTAGCAGATACTGAGAGAACCCCTCTGATAAGGAGTTATGTTCAGGGGCTCCCTTCTATGTATACAGAGAGTATTGGGAATTTTTACTCTCCTCAAGGATCACCAGAAGGTTCAATGTTTAGGTTTGACCAATCAGCCAATGTTAGTACTTATTTACCTGTGAAATTTACTAAAGAACAGGTAAACCACAAAAAATCTCTTGTTGATTCTTGATTTTCACATTTATTTGCTAGTTTATTTGCCTCAAATAATATTTGAATTAATTAAGGGTTCTCTTTTTGGTATTCATTCATGTAGTTTTGTTATTCATTTATGTAGACTTCAAATTTGAATATTTGGGATAAGTCTAGTTTTACATAATAAGAAATTCTAATTATATGATCTATTTGAATTTAAAATTTTCTGGATTCTTTAAAAGTGTCATTAAATCTCTTCTCTCAAGTTGTTTCTACCCATTTGAGTTCTTGATTTCATTGGATATGGAGGTATTTGGGTATATTTCTATTCTGATATAGATATGTGCTTGTTTTTATTTCAGGAAGATAATTATAAGAGAACAGCTTCAAAAGTGTTTCATGAAGCATGGGACCTATTCAAAAGTAAAGACTGGAAACTTCAAAAACAAAATGAGAATGATAGTTTTTTCTCAAGATCAGAATCAAAGGGAAAAAAAATCTTCAAAGTCCAGGTATGTTTTATCTAGTGTTTTATATCCTATGGTCTCTTTATATCTATGTATCTATAATATTTTTCTGCATAATGTAAATGAATTGGTTTGATGCACATATGAAATGAACAAAGTGATTTTTTATATTATATTTCAGGCTGAAATCAGTGTATCCCCTAGATATCTTCTTGAAGAACTTTTCTATCAAGTCCATGAGCTTCCAAAATGGAATCCTGCTATCAAAGAATCACAAAGAATTCAGTCATTGAATGAACACACAGACATAACTTACCAAGTCTCAAAAGAAGCTGCAAAAGGTTTAGTTTCCAGTAGAGATTTTGTGAATTTGAGGCATTGGGCGGAAATTGAGAATGGTTACATGATTTCTGTCAGCAAAACTGACCATCCTTCTATACCAGTAAATAAAAAAATTGTTCGGTAAGCATTGGGAGAGATTTCTTGTGCCATTTTTTCTTTGATATGTCTATTTGCTTATTTTCTTCACACAATTGTTTTTGTGTCAATTATTATGTATTTTTATGTTGTAACTTTCTGATTTCCATTAGTTTAATTGAATTTACAAATTCATAACTGAATTTCACCAGATGGCACAATTGAGGAAATTGTAAAAGTATAGAATGTTTTAAAACACCAAAGGTTCTTGAAAGATTTCAATTTCAAATTATATATTTTTGGAATTCTTCTTGAATTCACCATTCAATTGATGAGAACAGTTTTTTTTGTTATTTCTTAGGGGAGAAAATGGAGTAGGTTGTTTTGTAATTGAAGAAACCAGTCAGACAGACATAAGTATGTTTCACTGGATAATGAATACCAACTTGAAAATATGGATTCCAAGTACAATTCTAGAAAAGGAAGTAGCACATATGATGTTCACTTATATCAAAGACTTACGTAACCATCTATATTCAAAAAGGAGTAAGTAGATTGTATGAAATAACTGATTCATGTTTTTATTTCCCTTGTATTAAATCTTTCAGGTTAGTGAATGTCAAAATATTGATTCTCTTATGTCCATTGAGATTGTTTCTAACTTAAAATAATATTTTATGGTGTGATAATATTCTGTAATATGTATGTGAAAGGATCTAGTTCTCTAATGTTTGCAACTTTTTTTTTGTTCTTTTGTATATTGGTTCAGGAAACATGAATTTGATATGGAAAAATAAACAAACTACTATTAATCAAGAGAGAAGTTCAAAAAATTTCATCTCATCCATATTTTCCCATCCTTTGAAGAATCATGAATTTTTAAGCTAATTTCAAGGAAGAAATATGATCGATATTTTTTAAAGAAGAGCCGATACCTAACCAAACCTGATGGATCCATCAAGTTCATAAGTCATCAAAGAACAAGAAAGGATGAAGATATAGTTCCTCTACTTTATTTTAATAACCAAAACAATTGAAAAAAAGAGTTGAAATTGAATGACGATCTTGATAAATAGTTTTCAGATCCTCAATGTGAATTTCATATTTCTTGGACCAAAATAAAATGAAAAAAAGTTACACTAATTATCTTCTGGTCAATCCAATCTGATGAGTTTTCACCACTGATTGCCAAATATTAGCTGGCTGAGTTGTATTTGGCAGTCAGCTTGTAATATCAGTTAGACAAAACAACCATGGTAATATTCCCAACCATTGAAGATAATATTAGATGGCAAATCTTTCATGATTATTATCTAAGTTCTGAGAACTTTGTTTATTTATATTTTGCATATATTTTTTATACCCTCATGCATCTCGGAAAAAGACTGTGAAATAATCACGATAACACAAATTGAATATCCACCCATATTATTTGATCCATTTCAGATACAACATTATGAAAATATTCAATTGTAATTAATAATGGTGTGAGTCCATCTCTATATAAAAAAATTATTTCAACATGACTATGAAACTAAATGCTAGAGCAGTATCAGCATAATTAACAAATAATTATTGAATGATGGATAATATTTTAGATTTCTAGGACAAACTTTTGCAGGTGATAGCTGGGTTATATATTTTTTCCTGAAGAACATGGGTCTGAATTATATCAAGCGTTTTCAAGAAATCCTTGAAGTGGTAAAAATAAATTGGTAAAATAATATGAACCAAATTGCATGGTTGAAAAGAAAATAGATTTTTCAGTTTTCATGTTTTCCAAATGCTTGTAATTTGAACAATATGGAATCTGGCCCATGTAGTTCAATCATCTGTCAGAAGATTGTCATAGACCTTGTAAAACACCCTGTGTTGCCTCAATTTAAGCAATTATAAATGGAAAAAATTTGCTAGTTGTATAGCAGATGAATATTACATAAATTTCTCATTTCTTTTATTGAATTTATTACTGAATCGCATTATTTGATTGATATTTGAAACCATGAAACTTTGTGGATATGCATTTAATTACTGATACTTTATCATAAGGAACATTGAAGAAAGACTGTGATTCTCAAAATAAATATAAGCATAATGTTATTTTTAAATGTTTTTATTTAGTAATAAACAACAATAATCAACTTGAAACTGCTTTATTTTCTACATATTACAAAATTGAGTATGTACTGGAACCAGATCAATTCATATTTTGGTAATGGTGATCCTATATTTATTTTTCTTGTGCTGGAAACCAGGTTTGACATGCCTCACTTGCTATTTCACACATTGCGGTAAGTGCCTTTCCAGCGTTATCAAATTCTGAAATATAGAAAAAATATTTATTTCCGAAATATGAAATTTGGTCCAGATGTGGCTAATGTGTTTTTTCACGATTAGGTCGTGTTGAGCACTAAGAATGAAAAAGCTTGGAAGAAACATCATTGACCAATAATAATAATAATAAGATTTATTGATCCTTAGAAACAGACATATATTTATGGAGGGACACAAGAAGAAATCGATAGGTAAATAAACAAATCAAATAATTAGATTTTATTCTGTAGGGTAGACTGTTATATTGAAAGTAAGATTTCAGTGCTTTTTCTTATTTGTAATGAATTATCTATCAGATCCCTTGGTTTGTATAGTCTAGATGTGTATTCCGAAAAAGATAGTTCATTAATACATTTTGTGGCATTATCTAAGAGATTTCAGAAGTTTCAAAACAGATGGACAAGAAGTGTCTCCGTTTTAGGCAACGCCACGGCGGCAGAAAAAAATGTGACGTCATTTATGTGGTAAGGAAAGAAAGTGGAAGTGCTATCCGAGTTCATGTTTTCTCCGATAAGTAAGTAAATTAAGTATACATCTCACCAGCGGTAGTACCAGTTCTTTTTCCAAAAATAGAACCATTGAATGGTGGTCTTCTGTATGCGGCATCTGAGGTGGAAATGACTACACTGAATACAATGAATGCCAAGCAAAGGAATGCCAAGATTTTTCCAACATTGTTAGTCATTATGATCCTAGTAGAAACAAAAAGAGAAAATGGCGATAATCATTAAAGTACAGTGTGTTCAGTTTTCGATGCTTCTGCATGATATCTCGCAGTTATCTTTGGTGATAGAAACTTTCGGTTTTCGCAGTCTTGTTCCTCTTTTTTGTGAAACTCAAGATGGTCTAACCAGCTTTTGCATAATTGTACAGAATTTATTATCATGGATTATCGAAGTTCATCACTCTATGTATTATTCTGATATGAAGTTAGTTGTCATGGAAAAATGTTGTTGAAAGAGAAATAATTTGTTTTCAATAAACCAAGTTTTCATAAAAATACGATTCAATTAATCAATTCATTCAAACACAAAGCAAATCGAATCAAAAACCAAAACATAATGGTCCTTCGTCGCTCGGATATTCAAGTACCTGTTTAATTAAAGTCCTAAGTGAAAGAAAAGCTGTTCGTCACGAGCCAAGCAGTGAAGAGCAGAGTGAGTCCGTCTATTTCCTTTCTTTCCCAATCCATCCCTATTCCCAGTATTGTTTCAATCTGTTTGATATTCAAATATTATCATGCCAAAAAGAGGACAGCAAAATAATGATGAAATCACACCTTTACTCAGACAAAGAGAGTCAATCAATGCTAGACTGCGTCTTTTTGGTGATTATTTGGAAGATATGAATAACACTATCATTGAAATAGGTTTTAATAATCTTGATAAGGCCATAATAATTCAATTAAAGGATAGACTCAACAGAACTGAAAATCTCTTCGAGGATTTTGAAATTTGTCAAAATTCTTTGGAAGGTGTCATGGATATGTCACATGAATTAATCGAAGAAAGAAAGCAATTTGAATCATTATATTTCACGTTGATAGCACAAGCCAAGAAAATCATTCTGGAATACAATGACATTATGTCAGAATCTGAAAATAAATCTCAAAAAACACAGAGCGATACTTCGACTAGTTCAGAATTTGCACTAACTGGTATTCGTTTGCCTCAAATTCAGCTTAACAAATTCAATGGTAATTTAGAATACTGGTTAGAATTCCGTGATACATATGAATCACTTATCCACAATAACCCAACATTGACTGATATTCATAAATATCATTACTTACGATCTTCTCTGGAAGGGAGTGCCAAGCAAGTTATTGTATCTTTGGAATTTACTGCTGCTAATTACAATAATGCTTGGAAATTACTTCATGAAAGATACAACAACACTCGTTTACTATTAAATAATCATTTGAAATCAATTTTCAATTTTCCAAAAATCATTCAAGAATCAGCTAATGATATTCAAAGGTTAGTTGATGTAATCTCAAAACATTTGCAAGCTCTCCAGTCTCTAGGAGTGGAAACAACTAACTGGGATCCAATAATTATATACAGTATGAGTCAAAAACTTGATGATGTCACATCTCGCGAATGGGAGGAATACAAGGTGAAAACTGACCTTCCTTCGTTGGATGAATTCAAATCATTCTTGAGAAGTAAATCAAACTTACTGCAAACTATTAATTCAAACAAAATGCCTCAAAACTATAATACAAGAGGATCATTTCAAAAATTCAAATCCAATCAATCAAATACATTCACTACATCAACATTTCGAATGAGATGTAAACTGTGTCAAGAAAATCATTCAATTTTCAATTGCCCCAAATTCTTGAATCTATCAGTTCGAAACAGAATTGAACACGCTGATCAGTTGAGATTATGCAAGAATTGTTTAAAATCAAATCATTCTTCAAACAACTGTTTGATGACTGTTGGATGTAAGAAATGTGGTTCAAAGCATAACACATTATTGCATATAGAATGGCAGAACAACGAAAATCAAAACCAATCTATCAATCAGGTATCAACCAATGAAGAATCAAAAAATCAACCTTCTTCCTCAATTGTAAGTGTTACTGTATCAGAACCTCAATCAATAAACATGTCGAATCAGAATGTCGATGAAATTGATACTGTATTTCTTTCCACAGCATTAGTTCAGATTACTGATTCTTTCAATAATACACATACTTGCAGAGCCTTACTGGATTCGGCAAGTCAATCAAACATGATCACTCAAGAATTATGCGAAAGGTTACAGTTAGAAAAAACAAATTTCGATACGTCAGTAATAGGTATTGGTCAAATATCTTCAGTTATCAAACATAGAGCTGCCTTTACCATTCATTCCTGTCACAACAATTTTAGAACTAACATTTCATGTTTAGTTATTCCTCAAATTAGTTCAAATATTCCACGCCAATCAGCTAGGTCACCGATTAAAATCCCAGGAAATATCAGATTAGCAGATCCAACATTCAATACTCCAGGTACAATTGATATGCTAATTGGTGCAGAAATATTTTATCACCTTTTATGTGTAGGTCAGATAACTTTAGGTGAACACCAGCCCATTTTACAAAAAACAGTTTTGGGATGGGTAATTTCAGGCCCTTTGAGATCTGTAGGTTTCACTAATCCGTCATGTTTCCTGAATCTCAATGATATTAATTTAGATGTGCAAAATCAGTTGAAAAAATTCTGGGAACTTGAGGAGTGCTCATCAGTGGCTGAACAAATGTTAACACCTGAAGAACGAGAATGTGAAACCTTGTTTCAATCCACTACCAGTCGTTCAGAAAGTGGTCAATTCATAGTGAAATATCCTCTTAAACAATCTCCATCCTATCTTGGTGATTCTAAGCAAAAGGCAATTAGACAGTTCTTCTCATTAGAGAACAAATTAAACAAGAACCCAAAGTTATGTCAAATGTACAAAGATTTTATGAATGAATATATAAAATTAGGACATATGTCAAAGGTTGATTTGTCATCAACAAATGATCCAGTTTCATATTATCTTCCTCATCATGGGATTCTTAACGAAATGAAAATAACCACGAAACTTAGAGTTGTATTCAACGGTTCATCACCAACAACTTCTGGATGGTCATTAAATGATCTTCAAATGATAGGTCCCACCATACAGGATGATCTTTTCTCAATCATCTTGAGATTCAGGAAACATAATGTGGTAATTTGTTCCGACGTGGAAAAAATGTATCGCCAAATATTGATTCATCCTAGTCAAAGATCTCTGCAACAAATTGTTTGGAGATCAAATCGAAATGAGCAAATTGAGACATATAAATTAAATACCGTTACATACGGAACAACAGCTGCTCCATTTCTTGCAGTAAGATGCTTGAAACAATTAGCAATAGACCATAGTGTCAATCATCCAAAAACATCCAATGTCATCCTGAAGGATTTTTATATGGATGACTTGTTAACTGGTGCAGAAACTACAAGTCAAGCAGTTCAACTGGCAAAAGAAATATATTCCATTTTAAAAGGTGCTTCGTTAGTTCTCCGAAAGTGGTCTTCAAATGAACAAGAAGTTTTGCATGCATTAGAAATGAGTGAATCTTCATTTCACGTCCTTAAATTAGGCGAAAAGGAAACGTCAAAAACACTTGGTCTTTATTGGCACAGTCAATATGACATTTTGAAATATAATATTGATGTTTCCACTGATTCCAAAGTAGTAACAAAAAGAACTATTCTTTCAGAAATATCTCAGATTTTCGATCCTTTAGGTCTAGTGAGTCCCTGTATTATATTAACAAAAATCTTATTACAAGAACTATGGTTACATAAAATTGCTTGGGACGAAAGTATTCCATTATCTCTGGATACAAAATGGAGATATTTCAAAAATAAACTAAACTCAATTAATGATCTAAAAATTCCAAGACATGTCATTCATGAGAATGCTAGTCGCGTGGAACTTCATGGATTCTCAGATGCATCTTCTGTTGCTTATGGTGCTTGTATTTATGTCAGAAGTATCACATCTTCAGAACAAATTCATATTTCATTATTGTGTGCTAAATCCAAGGTAGCTCCCATAAAACAATTGACTATTCCACGTTTGGAACTTTGTGCTGCCTTAATTTTATCCAAACTTTATTCAAAGGTCATCAATTCTATGAATTATCATTTTGATTCGGTATTTTTCTGGACAGATTCTGCAGTAGTTTTACATTGGATAAACAAAGAACCGTGTTATCTTCAACAGTTTGTTGCAAATAGGGTTACACAAATTCAAAGCCTCACGAAGTCAGATTATTGGCGACATGTTGTATCTGAAGATAATCCCGCAGATGTTTTGTCTAGAGGTATTCAACCAGATTTACTAGATGAATGCTCACTGTGGTGGGTTGGCCCAAATTGGCTTTCAAAGGAACAATATCAGTGGCCCAATACATGCCCACAAGATCAAGATATACCGGAACTCAAAAAACTTGGCAATTTGTGTATGACCAACACATCAGGAAATGAAATATTCCCAATTGATAAATTTTCTAATTTCAGCAAATTGAAACGTGTAACGGCATATATTTTAAGATTCATCTACAACTGTCGTTTTCCTGAAAAGCGGAAGAGTGGAGTTTTAACAGTGAATGAATGTGATCTTGCTATTTTGTCTCTAGTAATAATTGTTCAAGAAGAGCATTTTTCAGATATCATAATTCATCTGAAAAATTATAAGCATAATCAATTGAAAGGAACTATTGCAAGTTTGAGTCCATTTTTAGATCATGATGGTATTCTGAGAGTAGGAGGGAGACTGCAAATGTCTAAATATCCCTATGAAAAAAGACACCCAATTTTATTGTCGGCTAAACATCATTTCACCAAACTGTTGTTTGCTTATGAACATTTGAGACTGTTCCATGCAGGACCTCAACTACTTCTTTCTTCAATTCGAGGATATTACTGGCCACTGGGTGGAAGATGTTTAGCAAGGAAAACAGTACGTTCATGTGTGAGATGTTTTCGCTACAATCCATCTCAACCCAACCCAGTGATGGGAGTATTACCAAAAGATCGAGTAAAAATTGCACCTCCGTTTAATTTCACAGGTGTGGATTACGCCGGGCCCTTCAATATCAAAGAAAAACATGGAAGAGGTTCAAAATCAATTAAATGTTGGGTTAGTTTATTCATATGTTTCGTTACAAAAGCCATTCATTTAGAACCTGTTACTCAAATGTCATCTGAAGCGTTTTTGGCTATGTTCAGACGATTTGTATCTAGAAGAGGTAAACCACAAACAATTCATTCAGATAACGGAACAACCATGGTTGGTGCAAATTCAGAACTCATCGAATTGGGATCATTTCTGTTAGACTCCAACCAAACTATATCTGAACATGTTGCTAACGATGGTGTAAACTGGTTATTTTTACCAGCATACAGTCCAAATTTCGGGGGACTATGGGAAGCTGGTGTAAAATCTTCCAAATATCACCTGAAAAGAGTGATGTCAAATGCATTGTTGACATACGAAGAATTTTATACTGTTTTGACACAAATTGAAGCAATACTAAACTCCCGTCCTCTAACCCCTTTATCTTCCGATCCATCTGACCTTGAACCCTTAACTCCATCCCATTTCCTAATCGGCCGAAAACTCACTTCGTTACCTGACCCATCTTTAACCCATATCCCGGAGAATCGATTATCAAGATTCCAGAGGATTCAACAAATTCAGCAGCATTTTTGGTCAAGATGGGAAAAAGAATATGTCTCTGAACTGCAGCAGAAACAGAAATGGAAGATTAATCAATGTAAATTGAAAGTCGGTGATATGGTACTCATCAAACAAGATAATTGTCAATCAATTCAATGGCCCATCGGTAGAATTATCGATATTCATCCTGGACCAGATGGTGTTGCCAGAGTAGCCTCGATCAAGACGTCGTCTGGAGTAGTGAAGCGGTCTTACTCCAAGATTTGTGTTCTACCCATTGAAGCTCAGTGATTTTTATAAAGAATTTGAAAGTGAATTGCATTTGAAAGCCCTAGTCCTTTCAAGGCGGGGGGAAAATGTACAGAATTTATTATCATGGATTATCGAAGTTCATCACTCTATGTATTATTCTGATATGAAGTTAGTTGTCATGGAAAAATGTTGTTGAAAGAGAAATAATTTGTTTTCAATAAACCAAGTTTTCATAAAAATACGATTCAATTAATCAATTCATTCAAACACAAAGCAAATCGAATCAAAAACCAAAACAATAATTGTTTCCGTTTTTTTGAGATACAGGGCGATTTTGAAAATTTTTACTGTCTAGACCCCCTCTATTACTAAGAAGTTTCTCAGCGAATATGTCAAATTAAAATCTTAGCCCATAGAGAATTTTACGCGTCCAGTGGCGCACTCAATTTTTTTTTAGAGTATGGTTTTGGAGATAAGACTCAAACTTATGATTTTTTAAATGGAACACCCTGTATTTCATCAGCTCATTGAATTCCTTATTTTTTCCTTTTAAAATGATATATAATGTATGAATATAACAATTTAAAAAATGATCCCAAATCACTAAAACATTGAATTTTGAACGAATTGGATGGATTTTTCATATAGTAAAAGTAAAAGTATATTTCCTTTAATTTTTCCATGAAGAGGACAACAACAATACCAACACCAATTTACTAACAAAAAACAAAACACAAAACAAAACTTAATTACCTGATAGCAACAAATAAATTTTGACAAAAAGTTTATAATGTAGAATAAGCACCTAATTAAATATTTACTGAAACAATTGAATTTCGAAATTATTCAGTAACTTATTTATTGAATTGTTCAAATTGATGTCGCGGTCGCTTTTCAACTAGGCCCCAGTGAGCCTTTTTTGCCGACCACACGAGAAAAAAATTTCCACTAAAATACATACGTTGCTATGGCAATTTGTCATAAAAACCCAATTTAACTGTATAATAATCACTGGTGTGGAATTTTCCCAAAACATATACAGTGTGACCCATTTAAGATGATGGAAGCACCCTTATAAAACTTACATTTTTCAACCGATTGGAATGATTTTTTTTTTGTTAGGTAGATATTCAAAAAGTCTATTAGGACACCAAATATCATGAATAAATCTCCATTTCCAGGGCCAACTAATCTGATTTTTCAAGGTCAAAAATCTAAAAAAATTACTAGCGATTTTTTTAGAAAAAATCTGACTACACCACTGGATTTGTGACATTTTCAAATGGGTAACATGTAAATTACGTTGAAATGCGTCAATCAATAAAAAAGTTATAAAGGAATGAAATTTGAAAAATATGCCGTTTAATCAACCCACCAATTCATGTTCAGGAATTTTATGAAAATTCTGTATACTCCACTGTATTCAGGATGTCTTGAAATATTACTGATCACATAGTTTCATCGAAATCTGTTCAGTAATAAAAATTGATGGGTTGATTAAACGGCATATTTTTCAAATTTCATTCCTTTATAACTTTTTTATTGATTGACGCATTTCAACGTAATTTACATGTTACCCATTTGAAAATGTCACAAATCCAGTGGTGTAGTCAGATTTTTTCTAAAAAAATCGCTAGTAATTTTTTTAGATTTTTGACCTTGAAAAATCAGATTAGTTGGCCCTGGAAATGGAGATTTATTCATGATATTTGGTGTCCTAATAGACTTTTTGAATATCTACCTAACAAAAAAAAATCATTCCAATCGGTTGAAAAATGTAAGTTCTATAAGGGTGCTTATTCCATCTTAAATGGGTCACACTGTATGTCGATAGTAGATAGAAAATGCCCTTTTTTCAACATCAACTTGTGATGTTTTACTCAAAAAATGAGAGGCACAATAAAAGGAATAATTTGAAAAATATGGTAGGTTCCCTATTAAGTAAAAATACTATTTTTATTAGGCAGTTAGAAATGAGAAGGAGTTTTCCTGTAATTTTCACTATACCGCGAATACCAAATTGGGACCGGTATGAATAGCCATTAATATGATCAGTTGTTCAGAGCCGAACATTGTGTTGGACTGTGCAAAGATAAAATATTACCTGATTTTTTTGTTTGTTTTTGGGGAGTTGATGATTGCACTCTTCGAACTTCTTCAGGCACGTCTTCAGGACTCTGACTTCAGCAGGGATCCTGTCGGCATTTTTATACCGCGTATCGACGGAGATTTTGCAGTTATTGAATTGTGAAAACTGAACCAATCTTATTTCAATTCACTATACCTACTTATTTCGAGGATAATTTTGTGAATCCGTGAATTTCCCTTGTGCACGATGTTTCATCCCGCTAATTAATTTGATTAGTTTCCTTGTCGCCACTAGCGTTACTACCTATCTAAATTGTGTCTAAATTGTATTACTAAACCAATAAGTAGCTATATTTTATGGATTTGTTTTCTATTCAATTTACTCAGTTTATTGGAAACAAGAGCAGGTTATGTTTAATGAATGTATTTTTTTTAAATGACAACTAGGAATAACTCCGTCTATAATATTACAGAGTAGCATTGTCTTCATCTTTTGAAAGTATATACGAGGTGTTTTTGAAATAAGTACATATATTCAGCTCATCGGTATGATACAGTTTATCGAATATTCCCATGATATCAAATTTCTTTTTGAGTAACAAGAAATCTTATCCCGAAAATTGAACGGAAAACGAGAAAAAAATCAAGTACGCCACTTTAATAGTTATTTATTATACATAAGGGAAAAAAGTAGAAGATTTTAGCTCCAGGTTGTGTTGACAAAAAACCGTGAGCTAAAATCTAATATTTTTCCCGTGTATAATACACTATTTTTTTCTGTGACAGAAGGAAAGACGAATCAATATTGAGAAGATATTACATTATTTTGAAATCTGAAAATTATCGACGTGAATTCATAAGTTTTTAACAGTAGGGACACCTGCGTTGTAGGCATCTTTATCATTCTTTTGAAGTAATCAAGTATTTGATGTCACTTCTGTCAGTCTAATTCTGTGATTTGACTTGAAAAAATTGCGAATTTAGTGGTTGTTTAGTAATATACGTAACCGCGAAGTCGAATGGAAGATAAAAGGACTTGGAGTTCTTTCTCGGAGACGGTATTATTGACTCATTTTTCGGAACTAAACAAAAGCCATCAACAGTGTATATATATGTGATATATATCCGATAAAAAAGTACTAACTTTTTTCCCATGAAAAAAAAGTAATTTATGAAAAGTGACATTTTATAACCTGCCAACAGAGATGAAATGCCAAACTTTTTTCCCGTCACAGAAGAAAACAATTCAAATGATTGTGATTGTGTCTTTCGCACGGAAATTTGAACAAAGGAAACGTCAGAATTGCTACAATGTAGAATTTTGGGTTGAAAAAGGGGTCTAACCCCAAATTTTATTTTGCTCCCGATATTTTTTTTATTGGTGCCATTCCATAGTATGCGTCGAGCTTTCTCAAGGTTTGAAATATTTGCACTTGTTTCAATGCCACCCTGTATATTGTTTAACGATAGCACGCAACGATAGAACAGAACATATTATGTCATTAATTGTGATATTAGATACGTAAATAAAATTGATGACATACAACAAAGCACCTCATTGATTTATGGATCACAGTAAAACAAGAGTAATTTTGTGGTATAGCCGTAGTATATTATTGTTCAACGAGCACGGACAATGATAATATATAGTTATTTCCCACGAGAATGAAGTTCGCAACATGAGCCGTAGGCGAATACTGCAAATCATACGAGCGGGAAATCAGCATTCCGTGCGATTTATGCACTATACTTTTTCTACGGCCATAATACAGACAACGAAATGATTTTTTCTGCGACTTCTAGCCACATCTGATTTTCTCTTGATGCTCATCTATCATACAGATATAAAATTTTTAATTTTGGAAATTACTTTTTTCTACGGCTATAACACAAAATTGCTCTTGTTTTACTGTGTTCGATAAATCAATGATGTACATACTTTTTCTACGGATATAACACAAAATTGCTCTTGTTTTAATGTGTTCCATACATCAATAAATGGTACTTTGTATTTCATAAATTTTATTTCCGTATCTAATATCACAATGACTCCATTGTAATTATTATTATTTCAAAAAAATCTCATCGCTCATGGAATGTCAAATTTCAAGCAATGACTGCCCTGTTTAAAAGATGCGCATTATTACTTGACAGGAGATCAGATGGCTGTTTGTGGAAAGTATTATACAGGTGAAATGAAAAGACCTCTCTCAGTAAGGACTAAAGAACACAAGTACAATATCAAGAAAAGACATATCGATAAATCGAAGCTAAGTGAACATATCCTTACTGAAGATGGACAACATATGGCAGAGTGGAACAATATCAAAATCATAGGAAAGGAAGAAACCAAAAAAGAAGAATCAAGAAATCCGCTTGCATTCTTCTGAACGGAGACAATAGCATTGCTTTCTCTGTTCAGTTGATATAGACACAACATGGTATTCACTACTGAAAACTGAACATGAAAATGGTAGATTCAAGATCAATTAATGAAAACATCCTGTAACTCATTTGCAGACTTAGTCAAAGCCGTTTTGACCGACAATGACTAGTTTCGACACAAAAAAATCTTATTTGGAAAATATTTTGAACACCTATATCTCTGTAATTATCCCCGCAAGGCCCCGAGGGTGATGCATTTATTAAATCAGCTCTTCAGGGAATATATAAGAATGCATGAATACCATTTGAAAAATCAAAGTTGCTGCTACTTTCTAGTAGTAGCGGCAACGCCGCATCGTGTAAAATATTTTAGACGTGTAGAACATGTCAATTCATAATAACCCTCAAATTTTCAGATCATCTGTTGCTTGGTTTGCCAGAAACGTCTAATTAACGCTCATCGTGAAAAACCCTGTATTGTTCAACGAGCACGGAAATTAGTATTCCGTGCGAGTTACGTACTATATTTCTTCTACGGCTGTAACAGATGACAGTTAAATTTTTCATTTCTTTGGCAGCTCAACATCTGTCAGGCAGATTAATGGAATATGGAGATGTCCATGATATAAGTTTTCATGAACATTAAATTCAAATATTGATCGTATTTTTTTTTTCGAACATTTCTTCATGAAAAACAATTATTTTCGATCATTCAATTAAACAGTCGAAAAATTAGTCGACATTGTGAGTGTATGGAATCACGTCAGGTACCCTTACGAGGGGAGTGTATCAACTTTGGCGTTCGTGATGTCTCTCTACAAAGGAGGGTTTCGCCTTCAAGAGTTAGGTATAAACAGAGTGGTGTTATGCCAAATCTTTTCCATATTATTTGTGCACTTTAGGAAAGCAACAGTCGTCATTGTTGCAATGGAGCTGTGTTCTTTGAAGGATAAACCTATGCATAATGCGTATCCAAGTTTCCTTTCAGGATATTCCAGAAGCGAGGTAAACTATGGCGGAAATCTCATCTCACAAGAACTCTATAATCGTTCAGGATAATTCATTCAGGAGCTCAACATCATCTCATGCAGATCATTGGAATATGGAGATGTCCAAGATAGGTTTTCATGAACAATAAATTCTAATATTGATCGTATTTCATCATCAGAGATCCTGTTCACAAGAACTCTATAATCGCGCGTTCAGGACAATTCCTTTATGAGCTCAAGATCTCCCAGACAGATTAATGAAATATGGAGATGTCCAGATAAGTTTTCATGAACATTAAATTTCAAATACAGATCGTATTTTTATTCTTCCTCGAACATTTCTTCATGAAAAACGACTATTATCGATCATTCAATTAAAACAGTCGAAAAATTAGTCGAC